CTTCATCGGCAACTCAAAGCTGCGCTCGCTGCTTCTTTGACTCAAAACGACTGGTCAACCAAACTTCCACTGGTACTGCTTGGTATACGATCTGCTCTAAAGAAAGATATTGGCTGCTGTGTTTCCGAACTAGTCTATGGAACAACATTACGACTACCAGGAGAATTTTTCACCCCAGGTAACCAAGTTCCACAAGATATGACTGATTATGTGCACCAGCTAAAACAACACATGAACGAGCTCAAGATATCACTTCCACGCCAGCAGGAACGAACGTCATACATCCCGCCACAACTGACAGATTGCACTCACGTCTTCGTCAGGAGAGAGGGTGTACAACGACCACTTCAACCCGCTTATGATGGCCCATTCAAAGTTCTAAATAGAAACGATAAAGTTATCACGATAGAACGACTGAATAAAGCAGAAGCCATCAGTGTCGACAGAGTCAAACCAGCGTTCATCGACGATTTCGAAGACAACGATAAAGATCAGCTGAACGACGTGCCAACATCTACATCCACGCAAGCTTCAACGTCGCCAGAGAAACCTATGAAAACTACACGCTCTGGTAGGAGAGTTCATTGGCCTAAACGTTATGTGCAAATCATCAAAATATAACTTATTACGAATTTTCATTTTTATTATCTTTATTCGTAATTGTCATTTGACTACACATTTAACTGATTAATATCTTCATACGTCAATCACGTCACTACTATGTTAACACTGATATTTCCTGTATTATTACATTTAATCATATAGCGCTTAATATTCACGTATCGTTTCCGTATACAGACTACAGATCCCCGGCCGATTGTATCATTCCTTATATATTCTACCACGATCATCAATCCTATTTTTTCTTTTATTATCGCATTTATTATCGGCCTTATTGACCGCATTAAATTGCTCATTTTTTTCAGCTTAATAAATCGCTTTCTGTGTACTGTAGCTGTTACGTATTACGCTGATGCATGTTATTGTCGAACACTTAAATGTATTTTTTTTATATTTCAGTGTTCTGGTGGGGGAATTATGTAGTACCCCTGTACCAACTATAAACATACGTTTTTAATCTAATTTGCATACTCATATTATATGTTTACACATACCGATTTTATATGTACTTCGTAAACATTTGCCAATTTACTGTTGAACGTTACCTTGATACTTTTTCGAAATTTGACTACGGCTATAATACACGATTACACTCTTCACAAGTGCCTTCTGATTTTACGTTGTGGGCGTCGAGTAGCCACAACGTCTGCGCACATTGATAAACGTGTACGCTCATTTAGTCAAATAGAACACGCAATAATTCTACTTGCGATTAATACGACTTTCTTAGCATTCCAAATAAATAGAAAATCACTCTATGCTGTCTGTAAGTCTGTATGGTAGTACTAATCTGAACATTACAAAAATATTTCTCTGAGCCCCTAAGAAGCTGCGTTCCGCCTCTCGCTTGCTTCTCTACACCAATAAACTTCCCGAAGCTGGGAAAGCCTAACGAATTTGTTCATCTCCACTGCTTGAGTTTATAGGTGGCTGGTTGGAAGTAGCCGCTAAGCTGGTGTCGCAAAGAGAAACAGTCTAGAATGTGCATTCAAAGCTTAAATTAATGGATTAAGTGACTGTGTTATCATCAATAACGTTATTTTAAGCTGGGGCGAAAAAATACGCACGTTCAAATCCTTCGGAGAATAAAAAGCAGTCAGTCACCTCAAAAAGTTTGTGTGAAATTACTTGTAGTGACAGCGTCTGGTAACATTTAAAAGTTTACCTGAATACGAACTCAGTGGAATACTACAGACATACTTACATCTTCTTAGCAGTCATCATAGTTTTTCACGACTAAGTTAAGAAAACTCCGGCCATTTAGTTGAAATGGTGTATTGACAGAACAGTCAGGCTAGCGGAAAAAACAGGATTCATTTATGTGTAATTGTGCACATAAAGTTTTCTGAATTTTGATATGATTATTGCAAGATCTGTGATGCTGTCGTTCTGATGGGGTCTACTAGTTGGATTAATCGCGAAGGTCCGCCGCTAATTTTTGAGTGGTAATTACCACTAGGGTACTAACGTGTTTATACAGTATGATTGCAAGTATATTGGGTATTGGTTCAAGGTTGTGTATCGTGGAGGAAAACTTGATAACTCAAGGTCAGTTCGGCGTATGGTGTCTTTCATTTTCAAGTGTCCTTCAAGTGCAACGCGGAATTAAGTCGCTTTAATGAATTGTTTAGTGGTGCTTAATCATGAGACTTTTGCTAACAAACTACCTGTAAAGAGAAATACCATTAAAATAACCTTGAGCCTGATTCTACAAATATGGTCTTAGTTTTTTTTATCTGAATGCTTCTCGGATAATAGGCTTTTAGGAGGGTTCAGAGACCTAGGTGTTATAGAAGAAAGACCTCTGGCTTAACACGTCAATTCGACGTGAAAGTATCATAGCCAAAGTCAAGGTCTTTCAAGAAACAATCAGATACAGGAAACGCAACGAAAGGTCATTCCAAATCCAGTCATGCCTGCTTTTTTACTTGAAGAGGGTGGTTACAGCATTATCCCTATTCCCTAGGTACATTCTCTGTAAATCCCCCAAGCTTTTAAGTAATTACTATAATGCTGAATTAAATCTCACTAATTCTGAAATAACTAACTTTCTCTAGTGAGTAAATTTCTGAATCTGTTCTGAAATGGTCTCTTTAATGGTACAGACTAGAACTCAGTACTGGTTTTTAGTATGACTGGCACTAATTCAGCAACGTGTTCTTTTTCTAGGCATTTTCATGAGTAGAGCAGAACCTACTGGGGTTGCTTATCAGCGCTGTTCCAGCCCTCTCAGCCCATATTTAGCACGGACTAGCATGATTTGAGGATGAAAAGACTTAATTCAGCACATTGTGGCAATTTCCTAGCCTAATTTCAGCCCATATTCTGCACTGACTAGCATTACTATAGAACGAAAAGACTGCTACTAATCATCATCGCCTGTATCCTATGCTGGCGCAATTCATTTAGTTTGCAGAAAGAAATGAGTTTTTATAATTGAGTGAATTTTGTGTTTTGAAATTATAGTACAATGTCGCTGCAAATCCGTCAAGTGCGGTCCACTGGTAGCATCCTGTAAATAAGCAAAATATAAGATTAGTTGGGGAAAAATTGTGTTCACATTTTCAGCATTTATATTTAGAAAGGTGTACTTACATAACTGGCACCGTTGGCTCCCCTGGTTCCTTTCTCATTTGCCTAGATATGAAAATCAGTGTTGTGATTACCACATGTTGACTAAACCGTGACTTATAAAAGTAAGCAAGCGTTTCACAACATTAACTGAATTCCTTTCTTCAGGTTACGCCTTTGCACTTGGTCTTTCACACTGTGCAAGTATGATTTCGGGCTGTATTGTTACTTAGGGTTATGGTTTTTAAGATATATGAAGTCGAAGGTCACAGTTAAAATTAGGGTAAAAGTTAGGATTAGGAGTTGGGATTGTGGTTATAGTTAGGAGTAGATTAAAGAACAGTATTAGAAATATCAGTGGATGTCAAAGTACCATGACATACAGTCACCTGGATGAATGCATCTATCACGCATGGTATGATTTTGCTATAGATCATCTATGTAGTAACCTAGAGACATCCTTACAACACATGCGCAAAAACTATGTAGTGTTAAATCGTGTTTGTAGTGGTTCTTAATGCATTTTTCAACGATTATTTGACTTTTTTGTATCTGGATTCTGATTGATTGTTCCAGCTCACTGTGATTTCGGCTATGATAGTTTAACGTTGCCCTCTCTGTTGTGGGTTTTCGCAGGTTGTTGTAGTAAACTGAAGTCGCTACACCAGCAGCTACTACTTCAGTAGAGGAGTTGTGTGTGTTTTTCTCACGAGGAATCACAACGTCATCACTCTACATCTAAATCTTATTGATGTAACAGTCAACTCTGTATTGTTATGTGCTTTATCCTTGAATAAATAATCCAACTGTGTAATGGGTTCATGAAATGAATTTCTCAGAAGAATCCTGAATATGACGTGTGAATAAATTATTATTACACAGCACTACTTATGCTCACAATTTTTTACAAGCTCACGTATGTCCGCGATTTATGAAGGGAAGCAAAACTTTGTTGTGATCTCTTCCGCGCAAAGTGTGCTTTATAAACAAATCTGATTTACCAAGTGGCAGTTGCAACCGATTAACTTTCTAACTTTATTTGCAACAGTTTATTGTTGTACTTATGTCGGTCCATCTCATATTTCAGTACTAGATTTTGTGCAAGAACAAAAGCCCTGAAACGCACAGTGTGTTGTTAACATTGTTTTCATATGTTATGGGTGTGGTTAGCTAAATATTCAGCTGTTTCTTGAATGGCGATCCTGCCATTAGATACTTATCCCGTTTTGTTGCTGTTTACAACAATTGTATTATTGTAATAAATTTAGCTCGTAGTTCAGTTAAAAATTGTAAGTCAGCAAGTGTGTAAATGTTTTTCTATTGAACAACGTAGTCGTATATAGCGGGTAACATTAAGACAAACAACGGTTCTTTCCACTTATTTGACAAGTTTTTTCTACAAACTTGGATTTTTCCTGCACCCAGGATTTCACCTTACTTGTCGATGTGATTTTTGATACTACACTGTCTAAGATGCACAAAAGTTTCGCGAAAAAACCGATTCTGACGGTGGTGTCATGTAAAAATATTTGTGTGTTGAGATTCATTCAATAGTAGGTATACTATATTCCAAAATCCTACGCTACATGTGATTCACCCTAGTCTACAATTTGACATCATTGACCATGGTAAATATTTGTAACTCATACCTCAGGATTTGATTTAGTATTATCTTCTTCTTTTGATCCATTTCTAGCGAATAAAAAATTTAAATGCGTTAATACAAACCTTACCAAGGTCCTTACTCATTCTATCGGCTAGTATATACAACATAATCGGTGCTATTCGGTTCATCACTTCGTTCTCCCATGCATGCAGCATGTGACTCGGTCAACTCAAGAAGATTAAGTCAGTTAGTTGTTACAGGTTAGTCAAGATTAGCTTCCATTTTACTTACTGTAGTTAAATGTGCAACATTTTCTCCATCATGTAGAAGCCTGTTCAGCAAATGTGGTGATCTGTTTGCTGTCCTACTTGTTGATAATACGCTTGTCTACAAGACCAAAGTTTGCCCCAAGACTTGGAGTCCTACATGGAATGAGTCTGTATCAGTTATTGCTTCTCCGAAAAGCACCATTCAAATTAAAATTCTCAATCATTTCAAATTAGGACCAGATGTATTGATCGCAGTTGCCGCCATAAACCTCTTCTCTCTTCTTATAGAATATAATGGTGTTTGTAAGTTTTACACTTTTCTTAATGCTGTAGTGTCTAAATGTGAGCTGAGATTGTCATTATTTCATGGATGTGATTACAAAGGGTCAGTATTTGTAATGTTAGATAAACTAAGAATAAGTATGCAGAATCTGGAGGACCAAAATCATGTAAGTCATCTTGTAATTATATACCTCTGGTTTTTAAATATATTTTTGACTTTACTAATCGTTCAATACCTAGTACTCGTTTGTTTGCTCTTTATGATATGAGTTTCTGCTTAGTTCTGTGTTAAGGTTAAATTTCAAAGTCGACGGCAGTGACTCAAACTAGAAAGATGTTTTAAATCCCCGACATTTAAGGTTTTAGAGCTGTTTTATGATATATATAGTTCTTCAATTTTCAGTGAATTGATGTTAGTGGACTACGAAGCACTATGCTTTGATAATATACACTATTTCTGTAAGTTCGTTGGTGTTCCAGATGTCTTTAGAATTAATTTATATAAGTAAATCATCTATCATGCCCGGTTGTTAGATCCGAAGAAGTTTCTGATTGATAGGAGATGCCGCTTCCATTTCATCACTCACAGACTTTCACAGTGAGGTTTCTACACCTCACTTCAGCTTAATTCCCAGTCATATCTTAAAGAGATATATTACTGAAATACTTTCGCCAAATTGGTCAACTTGAAGTGTTAAGCTTTAAGTTAGGTGGGCACGGTTAATTTCAAGTGCAGTTTCAAGGTTGTGTGAATACGAATATTAAAGGGTATTTATCTGGGATATATTTTTCTTTGTTGGTTAATCTCAATAATCTACAGAATACCTGTTAAATATCATAGAAAAGTGAAAAAAAGTGAACGAACTGTGCATATTAAATCATAGAAATGGCTTCTGCAGTGTGTTCACCCAAAACAAAATCCCCATAAAACACTTGAATTAAACAATTTAACTGGGAAAAAATTAATATCTGTTTTTTTTTTGATGGACTCTCGCATGAATAATTAGTCTTTTTGTCAGGGTTTGTTTGCCTACTGTTAGGATTAAATGGTTTAGTTTCCATATTTTCTTTGCATCTTTTTTTCGGGATTACTTCTTGAAATAAATAAAAAGCACAAACGTCTAAATGTACTCTGGAAAATAGAAAAATTCTTTGCTGTGGCGAAAAAGCTTTCTGTTCCCAGTCTGTGACTGTAAAATTGGTTCACTCAATGGATTTTTTTTCTATTTACTGTTACCGTTTCTGTCCTTTATGGAAACACAGTAATTAATCACTGAAATAAATCTTATAACCCTTTGTGATTGTTTTTGTAATTCGGTATTATTTCCTTTCGTCAAAGCAGTAAATTTATAAAGTGTACGTCTGTATTTTTTCTATCAGATACTCGGTAGTTCATCACAAGTTTCCTCTAGCACCAGTACATCGGAATTTACATCTGTTCCAAATCAAAGGTAAGAAATTCAAGTTTATTTTTCTTTTGTTATTTGTCCATTAACTGCACAGATTTTTTTTAACGTTTTCATAAAATCTGTGTTGCCTTCATGACGCTTTCTGTGTGTGATAATAAGGTGGGAAAATGAAGTAAACTTTCTTTCGATCATTCTTACATCTACAAATGAGGACTGCTTCAAGTCATAAATGATCTAATTATGCTGTGTATGCACATTAGTTTGCTAATATAAACATTGAAAGTGGACTAAAACGAATAACCAGTGTCATATTGCCGTAAATCAACGGATGTAATTAATTATTTCTTTGAGCATATATTGGTTGTATTGAACTTGTACATGTGCGCATATCTATCTCAGAATTTTGGCTAATTTAAGGCTGACTGTTCTTTCAAGTTATTTGAAAAAAAATGACAAACCAGTGTGTAAGCAGTACAAAAAATAGTTCAACTAGCTCGCAATTGTTTTTCATTCATTTACTATTTGGTCTCAGTCCTTATCAAAAAGGTGTAACGAATTTTAGAAGTCTATAGCTGCAATAAGAAGGGAAGATGAAAACATATTGATAGAGTGTGTTCAGAAATCTTTCAGGCCGATGGAACAAGACTACAAGTTAAAATTTAGGTGAAAGACATGCTTGTGTATTTTAGCGTACTGAACAGTTCATTCTTCTGTCCGATAGTATGAACCAATGAAATCTGAATGTGGATAAAAAGCCCATTTTACCTTAGTTATCAGTCAAGCAGGCATTCTTAATGTGATGAGTGGAGTCACTGCACAATGGCCTCAAATCTGTACAATGTAAAGCGTAATAAAAGGGAAAACAAGAAAATAGGAACTATTTAATCTTGACAATAAAATAAGTGCACGGAGAAACATGGCATCATAAGGATCTAAAATATAAGATGATTGCATCCTCATCATTGCGATTATTTCTGTATTACATCACCTAGAATCTCAAACCATTGATTGGTTTATTTAATTTAGTAAATTCCAAAGAGACTTTCCTGTATTGATCAAACTAAGGAACACGTCGCAGTCTAATCACTGTTAGGTTATTCAAATGAACTGTCGTCAAGATTTGACCGAATAGTTCTAAAATATTTGGGCGCCGAGTGAGAAGTAGACATTTGTAAAAAATTATATTTGTAAAATCTCAGCGATATTGAAATAAGTAATTCCAACGTTTCGTTCGGCAATCTGGTCCGAACTTCTTCAAGGGAATTAATCAAAATTAACATAACAGAGGTTTTATATATAAAAGGCACATCTTTTTAAAAACTTTGTCCAATCATGATTCATAAACACAAGTATTAACAAGTATAATAAACAAAATTGTCTGGAACAAAATGCACATCCTAAATCCGTAGCTGTCGAGTCACCTGACAACCCCAGTAGGTCGAATAAAGCAGCTCAATATTCAGAAAGAAGACAATGCAATAAGTTCGACAGGGTGCTTAAACTAAACTCTAATCCTAAACACCATAATTTTGAAAATAAGTCTAATCATAAAATTCTAGATACTAGCAGTTTGAACGGACATGAAGGTTTGATGTTAGCTGATGCATAGGAAATCCTGATTAATAAATAAAAATGGATATGTATCACTAATTAATAATACTTGGTCAAATTCCTGACTGTCTATATCTTCCTATGGAGACGTTAAGAAATGTTTTACGACTGTTTACACACACACGCATGCACACTCTGTTTAAAGTATTTAACAAAGGTAGACCAATATTTGTAAGTCCGAGGTCAAATTTTGATCACAGCTCATACAATTTTGTTTATTATACTTGTTAATACTTGTGTTTATGAATCATGATTGGGCAAAGTTTTTAAAAAGATGTGCCTTTTATATATAAAACCTCTGTTATGTTAATTTTGATTAATTCCCCTGAAGAAGTTCGGACCAGATTGCCGAACGAAACGTTGGAATTACTTATTTCAATATCGCTGAGATTTTACAAATATAATTTTTTACAAATGTCCACTGTTAGGTTACTTTCTGGCTATTTTTAATTAAGTGAGCATTGTGCATTTGTTTCCACAAATAGATCGGTATATGTAAAGTGCTCATCAGTGGATTTAGAAAATTAAACTTAACAATTTCACTTACTGACTTCTTTTGTCTTAATTTTGACCACCGATTGATATCGGTTAGAGAACCACTGAAAACCAGGGAGTACTGGGCAGCTGTTTCCTTCTAGTTTGCGACTTATCGGCAGTACGCACTTGCCGGGATTTGAACCCAAAACCTACTGTTTACAAGGCAAGCTCGTAGACCATTCAGCCACTGAGACTAGAGTCAATTGTCCACGAATTCTTACTTCTGGCAATTCTTTTGATCAAGTCTCTTCTTCCAACTTCTGCATTGCTAATCTATTGGTTCAACTACATCTGTTCGACACTATGAATTCTACATTACGTGTATCTTTCTCCTTCAATGGCAACATTTCAAAGGCATATTTAAGAACAGTTCAAACTACTGTGTAATACACCTGATCATTAATAGATAAGTGAAATTATTCCCGATGCAGTAGATGACCCAATTTAGCGAATACGGAGTGAACAGTTGTGGAGGAATAAATCGCAGTATGTTTGCTCATTATCCCACCCCAGCTTGAATGAAAGGTAGACATTGATCCTCGAAATCTAGTCGAAGTTGCGAAAGTTGTACATAATAAAGAGAAGAAGCGTTGAACTTTCGCGGTCTGCTCCCTTAGTATTCAAGCATGATGGTAAGGTAATAATTGACTAGAACAACAGGGTACTCAATAATGTAGGGGGATCAAGGATAGTAGGTCATTTCAGTTTATAAGAAAAAATACAACGCATGGTTATAAGCTTAACTGGCACAGCGTCTAAGATTCTAAAGTCCGTAGTCATTCAAAGACTATGTAGAAATATAGACAGTCTGAAATTCGACATTCAGCTATTGGTCTTTTTTCTTTTATAAGTCTTGATTATCTTAATTCCCCATGTCTGTTATTTCCCATCTTATTTCTTTTTATACTTCGTTTTTTTACCATTATCGATTGCGTCACTTTTGATCTCCCTATTTGTTCCCCAATGTTTTACCGGTGTAAAGTTTAGCATTATAATCTTTGACTAGATCTTATATTATTTCTACTCACCTGTTCATCCACCTAATAAACTAGACTATAGGAAAATGTTTATAAAATTTCTCATAAGTGACTAATATATTATTGGAGGTTGAAGTTCAGTATAGGTTATTGGTCACTTCCAATAAAAACCCATCTTCTTTAGTGAAAAAACACGACACAGTAATCAGACCCTGGATTGTGGTACTTACTCAGTCTTCAAAATTTCATAATGGTTCTTCATAGCCTCTAGGATCTAATAAGTGTCACTGTTGATTGAAGAACTCTCAAATGAGGAGTTTTCAGTACTCCAGGAAGAGATCACTTGTTTACTTTTTTGTTTAAAACAAACCTGGTACATTGAATATCAATAGATGCATCATACATGAAGTTGAAGGTAGGTACGCTAGGTTGCGAGAAAGTAAAGTTTAGTTGAAATTTCCTCTGTGTTGTCATTCCATACTCATGCTAGGTCCGAGATAGTGTCCAGACTCTAGTAGATGGTTGTCTTAAGAGACCGCTACCAAGGCATTGACTCGAAGTGTGATCCATAAGCCAGCTGAGCAATATCAGGAGCTGCGTTTTAATGATTTGCAGTAACCAAAGCACGCTTGCACGCCATTCTTTTGTTTCTATTCTTGGAGTCCATATGCACCATAGGTTTGGAATCAGGGTTTTCCAACATTCCTTGATGAATTCCCCATCTTCATCAGTCCGCTTATAAACATCGAATATTTCCACTCGCCTTTTCACTTTTGCAAGTACACGCCGTGTCGCGTTATCTTATATTTTATTTAAACTCAAACCCGGTACGATATGAGCATCGAGAGATGCACCATAGACAAAACAATAAAACACAATTTACGGAAAAGAAGCAGAGTGATTAAGAAAATGGTCATAAAAAAACAAGCAGACCAGGTATCACAGTATACAGTTTTAGATCTCATCAGTCACACCCCACAGCGTTCACATAAGTACCTAGGTACACGATCATATCTTTCTATACAATAAAAATGTCAGGAGAAGATAACAGAAGTCTGAAAATATCTGAGTCCCTTTAGAGTTCACGCCTATTAATTCTCTTAGAGATAAACAGTCCGCCAAACGAATTAATTAGACAAATAATTTATTCTATCAGCTGCTATACAATAGCCATGAGGTCAAGTGCATGAGTCAAAGTAACTAGTCGATATCAGTTTAAGAACTCAAGTGAATTTAAAACACTGAACCTGACCGTGGTAAATAGCCTAAAAAGCTGAGTTACGACTATGCTTCCAGAACCAAGTAACTGCATTGAAGGTAAAAGAAAGTTACGTGCATTGATACATCGAATCACTGCGTGGAATTGAAACATTAGAAGATTAAAGACTTAGCAAGAGGATGTCTATTTGGAAATTGGTATCTCTATATATCCAAATAACGTACACCTTATCTTCAGCGCACCATTTGCACAGATCTTCCGTGTTGTGACACTTCTGGACTTCATATCGTGTTTCGTTGTGTTCCTTTCACGTTTCCAATGTATCTCCACAACGCTGTATCATTTGACTTTTCTGATATCAAATGTATCTCCCTGCTATTTGATGTTTTTATGCCGGCTGATGAACGTCTCTTTATATACTACTGATAAATCTTATCAGTAGCACTCGTCACTCCATACATCCAGTATAGAAACAACAGAATCAAAAGACGAGGTGAAAATAAACTGCTAATCCAATTGTCTAAACTTTTGACTATCTCTGTGTCACAACCTGTAATGAAGATATATGTATAGTAAATAAACAAGATTGTTTCAGTGAGGGAAGAAGAAAAAATAGTTTTGCCGATTTCAATAAACCTATAGTATACTCAGACTAAGAAAAAAGATAGTTCATTGGTGAGAAAGTACAAACTGAAAAAAGTTTTCATCTAAACTTAAAATTATTTAATCTTTATATGGTTGAACTGTTGCTGCAGGACACTTGGGAAATCAAAAATGGAGATAAAAAGATATTTGTGTGATAAGATAATAATATGTGTACAAGGTCGGACAATGATATCGTGATAGTAAAGTAAGAATTTGTTTGTATATTCAGTGTTAAAAAAAGGTAGAAACTGAACGGGCTTGTGTTCAAACATAAAATGTTACGAAATTAGAGTTTTGGTTTAAGTAATTAGGTTAATACACTTGACTGTGTTTTGATTGACTGAAATGCATTCAACTTCACGACATCAGGTCCTATATCCATACATCAGTTGCTTGTCTGTACAGCTTTTAATACTATTTATTCATGGAATTGAAATTATGTTCTCCTAATGGAAATGCGTATTGTGGACACAGGTGAAGCATACCAAAATGAAGTGTTTCTTGACTTTTGATTGCTATAGTAAAAAGAGTTGTCATCACTGCATTTTGGACTAAACTTCTGGTCCTCAATTTAGTCTGTTTACTACATAATTCCCTTTGAAAGTGAAATACAAGTTATGTAGCTGTATTAATGGTTCCACTTTTCGCTCTGTCTTTTTCGTCCTTACTATGTTGCTTATAACAGCAAACATTTCACTGCATACATTTCAACGAATCACAACCTTGGATCATTCTATTCGATAAACAAAGTTCTCTTTTCCTGTGAAATGGAATTTCGATTAGCTTTTACTCATAACTGATAGGTGGGGAAAGAAGTTAAATTGGAGATACCACATAATTCGCACTTTTTTTATCAGAGACACCAATTTAAAGTGTAAAAGGAGTTGTTGATTTCACGTCTCATGGTGAATTTGGTTTTCATAGCCTTTTTATCGAATAATTAAATAGTTTACCGCATAACTCCTGGAACTAGATAACACAAATGTAACATCGGGATTTATGTTATAGACTAATCGTTGTCGTTTTCCAGTGAAAGTACTCTATGAAAACGTTTCTAAATTAGCTTTATTACCACTGTTTGTTTAGCGATGCATGTTTTTTAATTATTCAATTGAAATCATGGAAAGCAATAGTCTTTCACCTCAGATTTATTCTCCTTTATTCCTTTGATTTCGTGTGGAACACAGGGCTTCAGAAGCACATCTCTATTGTATTCTGTTATCTGCAGTATTTTTAGCCGGCTCCATGACTGCTCACAAGCTTCCACATAGTCCTCAAACAAATCTCGGACGCCTAACGTTTCGCCTTCTATTCGGGTCGCACTTCAGAGCCAGGTGTGTGGCATCACTTGAATTTCTTCCCAGAGTATATCCAATCCATCTCCGTTTCCTTATGCATATTTGTTGAGCGGTCGGTTCTTGGTTAGTTTGCTCTCAGAGTCCTTTGTTGCTTATACCTTGTGGTCATCCAATCTTTAGTATCATGCAAAATGGATACATCATAAGACCACGTTGCAAACATTACTGCGTCGGTGGCACACTGGTTAGGAATCTCGCCGACGATGCACATGGTCCGGGGTTCGATCCCTTGCCGACGCACACGTGATATCAATGGTCGGTCTGCAAAATTTGGGCTACCGATATCGCATGCTGAGAATTCCATACTTGTACCGAAAATACGGTGTGGAGTCAAGCTGTAATCGAAAAAAAAATTACTGACAAAATTTAGTCAGTACCAACACAAAAGACTAGAAACATGACATCGGTTAGACTCCACCAATCAACCAATTTAAACTGAAGTTTGTTTTTCGGATTGTAGATTTACAGTTTCTATAGTATTGAATCTCTTCAATATTACGAATAACGCGTTCAGTTAGCGACTGCTGAAATTGGCCAAAATCAAAATATTGGGTGAGATTTTCAACGTCCATTTCTATCATTCCTGTAGTGATTGCTTCAGAGACTTGCTTATTCGGTTATATATATTGCCTAAATCATTTATTTACTTTAATTAAAACTTGTAAAGATAATTAAATCTTACGAAATTGATAAAATCTAAACATAGTCCGATTTATTCATTGGCACTATTCTAATTCACTTTCTGATTGAATGATCAATATATCTGATTATTGTTTTGAAGATTTCAAAGTTTTCAAATAATCTCCAATCGATTGCATTTGTCCTCACTAAATAATGTGTCAGTTTCAATGATTGTTTTTATGTACTGTTTTTTAATACCTCTTCAGTGTTATATTTTCCGAGACAATCATTTTGAACGTAAATTACAATTCACTTTTAATTTTGTTGGTTTTTTTGACCTAAAATTAGTATGGTGTTTATTTTTCAAGGCTACTCAACAATACATCTCAAATGTTGTTATTTATTACTGGATTGAACAAAACTTTTAAAATCACTCTTTGTGTTCTAATATGTACTTCGTGTAATAATTAGTTCATTGGATTTTCAGACCAACCACCACCAGTTTTGCATAACAGCTAATTAATAAGTATAGATTATTATTATTATTGTTCCCTTGGGTTCCTAGTGGAACATAGGGCTTCAACTACACGTGTCCACTTGCTTCTGTCTTCTGCTGTACTTTTCACCTGCATCTATGTTAATCCATACTGTTTCAACTCTTCTTCACACGATCTCCTCCATGTCACCCTTGGACGTCCCCCTCGCCGCTTCCCTTTCGAGTTCCACTCGAGCCATGGCCTGACGCGCGATGTCACCCAGCGGCCTCCTCAGCGAGTGTCCAATCCATCTCCACTTTCTCCTGCATATTTGTTGGGCGATTGTTTCTTGTTTTTTTTGTTCCCATAGTTTCTTGTTGGTGATTCTTTCCGGCCATCTGATCTTCAGTATAGAGCGAAGACAGTTATTGATTAAGGTCTGCAACCTGTTGGAAATATTCTTGGTGACCCGCCAAGTTTCTGATCCGTATAGAAGAACTGACTGACTTGACGTTTGTATCGAAAATCCGAATTTTGTTGTTGACGCTGAGTGACGAAGATTTCCAGATTGATGAATGTGTTTCTCGCCTTTCCGATTCTCTATTCGACATCGTCCGTTCCTCTTGTAGTTGAGACAATGCTCCCTAGATAAGCGAATGAATATTTGGGGTACGCCGTAGTAATCGGGTAGTTCCCAAATTACTTCGCGGTCAACGCTGTCGAAGGCCTTCTCAAAGTCTATAAAGTTGAGGTAGAGGTTTGATTGCCATTCCATGTTTTGTTCGATGATAATGCGTAGAGTTGCAATTTGGTCAGAACATGATTTGCCTTTCCTGAATCCAGCTTGTTCTGGTCGGAGTTCTGTATCCAGTGTGTCCTTTATTCTCTCCAGGATGATGCGATTGAGGATTTTAATCGGCGTCGACAGGAGCATGATTCCTCGCCAGTTCTTGCAAAGTCCTAAGTCGCCCTTCTTTGGTAGTTTCACAAGGTAACCTTTCCTCCAGTCAGTAGGCACCTTTCCCTCCTTCCAGACCTTTTGCAATAATGGAGCCAGCAAATCTGCTGTTGTCTCCGGGTCCGCTTTCAGTACTTCCGGGGGTATTCCATCTGGTCCAGCTGCTTTTCCAGCTTTCAGAAGCTTGATTGTATTCAAGACTTCAGCTTTCGTTGGAGGATTGGTGTCAACTTGCAGTTGTGTACGTGCTGTTGTTGGTATTTCTGGACGGGTTGCAGGTGGTGGTCGGTTCAAGAGTCCTTTGAAGTGATCCGCCCATTGTTTAATCTGTCTTTCTTCCTTGGTAATTGGGTCCCCTTGGCATGTAGATTAGATATACATTTCTCCACAATTCCTGAATAATAATTTATGACACATCTAAGACTTCATTTTAGATCTACAAAGCTTAATAATTCATGTACAATAGATGTTTTCCTCAGGAATTAATGAGTTGCACTCTGTCTTATTCGTCTCTTTTGTAATTCTGCAGATTAAAGTTACAGATCACCAACTGATTTAAACACCTGTTGCTTTCACTTAGGACTTAATAATTCAAAAGTTATTGATACAACTATACAAATGGTAAATAAGCATTCAAACTCAACCAAGATGATTTTGTTATTTGCATGATGGGAATATTTCTTACCAGTTATTAAACTGATGTATAATATCCCATCTTTACTCAGCTAATAATAAGGACGACCAAATAAAATACATTTACTGCATTACACGTAATCTGATTTCCCTGCTTTATCGAGCTTTGTATATAACTCAAGGATGGCTTATATCTTTCTGCAGTGTGCAGAATTTTATCCCATAATTTATTGTTCTTCATAGACTTACAGGTTTTATAGTACACCTTACTTATACATCCATCCACCTGATAAACTGGTGCCCTTCTACTTTTACCATTTTCCTCCTTATTTATAGTTTCACTCTTAAGTTTGAGTGACCGGAATCCGGAGTTTCCACTGTAGTGTTTGTTTTCAGATATTTTTTAAGGTGATACGGTTATGCTACATAATTCGAATAGCAAACTTCATGCTAAAAGATTTTCAATAGTATTATGCGGTTACCAGTTGTTACATATAGTTTCTGACTAGTTCTTGGTGACATTTATCCCCTTGTTTCAGTCCTCACCAGGAATCTGTCGGTGGTTATACTACTGTGGTTACAACTGATATTGCTCAACTTACTAATGGATCTCATCCACATGCACCAACCAGCAGTTCCAGTCTCCCAAGGATAACAACAAGTCAACATGACGGAGCTTTTTGGTCAGCACTTATAGGGTCTTTGTTTGGATCTCATAAATTCTCTTCTAAAAATCCTGCAGCAACACTTCAGTCGTCCGTTAGAGGTCAAGATGTAGAACTACCTGATAGACAACGTCCACTAAGTGACTGGACAGAAGTTGATGGTATGTTAGGAGGAACCAGCAACTTGCCCACCTCATCAGTCTCAAATTCCGACATTAATTCACAAAACTCTCAAATCGTTGGATCGTTGCCACCAGGTTGGGGTGAGTTCATGCTTTTTGGTGCTGGTAACGTTTACCTGAATTCCCTATTTTAAGTCTGATATTTTTCTGGATATTTAAAAAAATATTTTTAATGAAATATTCTTAAATGACTTTAAGAACTTATTCCGTATCGGTGGAATAATTAAATATAAATAAATGTCAAAGTCATAAACACATTGCCTGTGCTATTGTTGTTTAAATTATTTTTAATGAAAAGTGCGTAACTCATATCGTCAACAGTGTCCAGTGAACGTGGTATTGTGCTGCGCCGTGGCTGCAGTGTAAAAACATTCTATCCTCCACTTCCAGTTACAAAGAATACTTAGGTTTAAAGTGAATGTTTTTGAGAAATCCAGCACTGTGTTTTCAATAACTTCTCATTTCGGGTTAGACACCACTGGCCCCGAAATTGACACATCTTGACCTACTCTACAGTTCTTGAGTAACTAGAGGTATGGTATTTGTACAGAAGAAACCATAATTCTATCACCTGTAAACAGACTTCATGTGGTCGACGTCAAGTAGTTATCCGCTAGGCTCTGTAGCCACACAAAACTAATCATTAAACCGGAGAAACCCAATAACTGTTCTGCTGAAATCATACTGTCAGCCTCATATTGGAACTTTCAACCTCCTTACGCTATATCGAAACAGACTGTCAGTTTTGAAATAATGGAGAAGATTTGTAGCTCACGCGGATGATTTCAGTTTAGTTGTGTTCTCTGAGCTAGTTGATTTAATTGAGGAGCTTTCGTTATTTTCACTAGCCAAAACACTGGCATCTCTGATACACACTTGTACAAAACCCGAGTTCACTTATTCAATTAACTTTACTTGGCAAATAAAATGAATCTGCAATATTTATCATACGAGTGCTAAAAGTTTCTTTGTGGACCGGTTGGTGTATGAAGAGCAGTAGGCTATAAGTCTGAAAACATCTTAGTATGATAGATCCCACTGGCCAGTCGTTTGTCGTTTCTTGGTCGATTAGCTTCGTGCAAATAAGAAAAGATCGTGATAATTATCTATGCGCTATCTTAAGCTCCTACTGGGCACCATCTGTTGTAAAGTTTGACTGTAAATAGTGCTGAAAAAGTAAATCATGATAATCACAACATTTTATTCGAACTCATGCAGCTACTTGTGACCTCTTGGAGATTTATAGACTGAAGTGATGACAAACATTAGTTTAACCAGGTATAGCCGATGTAAACATTTCAGTTTGATTTTAATACACATAAACTAATGGAGCATAGGCTGTTTGGTTTCGTTATCTCAATAATTAATTTGCTACTAAGGAAGCGGAAAATTAATTTAGAGTGTTTTAAATGCACACACCCCTGTCAAATGTAAGATGATGCTTCATGACTGGTTTACAGCCAACTTCTGGTTTAGAAAAAACACTTTCACTGGCCTCGTGGTTCACGTCTGTGTTAGTGTGCCATGAATAAAGAGTAACTTAATTGTCATTTTAAGTAACCAGTTGCTCAGAGATCCACTAAATAAGATCACAGGGGAATTTAGTTTCTCTGGTTCACAGCTTTTGATCTGCATGGAGCAGAGGCGCAGAGACTAGTGGTCAGATACTTTATCCACTAGGCAGAGATAATCCATCACCAGTACTATTCTTGTTATCCCTATATTCGTCAGCTACGCGTTATTATTAAAAATTTTAGTTTGTCTACACCATTTTTAGAAAGCAACATATTAAGCACTGACGAAATTATATGTACTTTGCATGTATAATGTTGATCGACAAATCTTCATCGATCCAGGTGTGTACCACGCAGGGCACACTGCCACTTTTTTTCGAAGGGTGATGCTATTTGAACTAGGAGGTTGGTTAGAGAAATATGCATTGTTCAAACGCAAACATCACATTAGTACATGGAGTCTGTGCGTGCTGACTTGTTTAAAGGTTTAGTTTGCCTGCTTCGGGTTCCAAGGACTCCAAGAGTCAACGTTTAATGACAATGGAGTAGACTTACTGACTTTTTGTCATTTTCCAGATCTTGGAAACTTTACTAATCGTCATTTAACCCTCCATTCAGTCTCACTTGTGTAATGATGTACTGTTTTTACTAAGTTCTACGTTTATCCGTCAGTCAACCAACATAATTCACTGACCGATACAGTCTTTCAGATTTTGTCTTTTGTACATCATCGTCTGATTACCGGTTTTTCTTTCCACTGAACTCTTTCATATGTTCTAATTTATGCTAAAATTACTTAATCTGTTATTGGTTGTCGAAAATCCGTTTTTACTTGCAGTAATTCGAAAAACAGGGTTCCATCTTTAGATTACTTCAAAAATATTTTATCTCCGAATCACTTTAAAATCCTTGTTTGTTTGGAGAAATATACAGGGGGAAGTATTTGTTTTTTTTTGCAACGCACATCAGTTAGATACCAAAATAAACTTTTATTACTCCTACTTTATTGTAATTTCAGAGAGACGTTTTGATACATCAACTCAGAAATACTATTTTGTCAATCATAAATGCAAAATCACTCAATGGGAAGATCCACGTGAACGAGGAATGGATGAAACACAACCTCTGCCGCCTGGATGGGAAAAACGTTACACAGCTCAGGGTCAAAGATTTTTCATTGACCACAATACTCACACCACTACTTTAGTTGACCCACGTACTGGGCAACATGCAGGGTAAGCTTAAAATGTACTCATATACTACTCTTTACTAGTACAACTTGGATATCAATGTCGTTTTTATGATCAAGGTCGTTTCCTTACGTATCTCAAACAAATGTCATTTTGGTTAATGCTATTTTTCACCAATCCTGGTCATTTCTTATACTTTTGGAAATATCTAGGCGAATGTTTTGCGTGATTTCCGACAGGCTTCAGACTTTCATGAACAGCTCTACCTTCGCTGCATATTGAAGATCTGATGGCCAGTCAGAAAGGGTGAGCAACAAGCAACTCTACTAACGAACCAACCAAGAAACTAATGCCTAACAAATATATGCAGAAGGAGATGGAGATGAATTAGACACATGGTAAGGACACCGTTGAGTGTGACATCGCACACCAGGTCCTTGAGTAGAACCCGAATGGGAAACAACGAGTTGGGCGTCTAAGAGTGACACGTTGGATATCTTATCAGGAGGGAATGAAAGCCTATGAGCTGCCGCAGAGTAGGGTAAACAAGACTGCAGAAAACAGAATACACTAGAGATATGTCTGTTGAAACTCTATATTCCACTCGAACTCCAAGGGAATAATAATATTGATAATTATAAAAGACAGAACATCTTTGCGGAATGAAAGTTGACCTCTTAACGGTCGGTTTGCACAGGATAAATTATTTACGCTTACAAAACAGTGAATGCGAGAGTCAGTATCCAGTATGTATATTCTATTTGACACCATAAGGTAACTTTAGAAGTTATTCTCTACTTGTCTGTTTTGCAATGCAATCACTCACTGACTTAACTGCATAATTCTAAGGTAAGTGTAGCTATTTTTAATGAACTTTGTACATCATTCAACGTCTGAACGGACCTTAAGTCCAATGTCTTATCTTGTTAATCGCATAATGAATAGTTGTAGTTGGGTCAGTTTTGCAAAACACTGATAACATTTTAATTATTATTACTATATTGTTTGATATAAAGAATAATTAGGTCCAAATAAACATGTGCTATGCTGCTCACAGTGATAAAAAGAGGACAGATAAATCATTGACAAAACATCTTACAATTGTTTATGGTTATCTTTGGAGGTGTAATTCATTGACCTAGGCTCTCTGTACCGAGTCAATCCGGGTGTCTCACTCGACACCAAACAAATGAAATTACCTTCCAGTGTTTATATCACTTTTATCTGGCTAGCAACCACTACTAGTTGATGTGGGTGGGTCCCAACTTCTCATATGAATTGGCATACTAAGCATAAAGAACAAGATTCGGATTTTCAACACAAATTACAAAGTCAGTTCTTCTATACGGGCCAGAAACTTGCACTACGTGTCACGAAAAGGATTTCCAACAAGTTACAGACTTTTGTCAACAGTTGCCACCTTCGCTGGCTGCATACTGAAGATCAAATGGCCAGCTGGTCAGAAAGAATTAGCAACAAGAAACTCTGGCTGGCGACAGACCAACCAAAAGCCGATTGATCATCAAATATGTAGGAGAAAATGGAGATGGATCGGGCACATATTGAGGAGGCCGTCGAATGACACCGCGCGCAATGCAGGCTATCGCTCGAGTGGAATCCCGTTGGGAAGCGACGAGTGGGTTGTCAGTGTGAGGGTGACATGGAGGAGATTGTGTGAGGAGGAGATGAGAGATTGTGGGCAATCGTGGATCTAGCCACCTGAAGAGGACAGTAGAGAATAGAACACAGTGGGATCTGTTTTTGAATCCCTATGTTCCACTCAGAACCCAAGGGAATAATAATAAAATACCAATCGGTAGTATATACTGTCCACCCCAGTATCACTAGCCTTCACACAATAGGTGTGACACGTTACCAACTACATGGTAGTGTATTTGGTTATCGCGTTAGAGTACAATTATCCTTTGTCTTTTAATGACACTGTTTAAAATTATAAAATCTTACAAAGACTTAAGTTATCAGACTAAATTGTCTTTATCTTAAAGATGAGTACATCTATTTTAGTTTTAAAAGAAATAATGAACACTCATCTTTAAACATTTCGTCCCCTCGTACTTCTTCAAATTTTTATGGTTAATGAAATCTCATAGTAGGTTATTTATCTGGAAACTCTGAAGAGGACATGCAGCTGAGCAAGTGAATATTTAAAAGGAGTTCTTATCTCATCTGAGCCTGTAGTTGAAAAACGTTGTCAAATACATTTGACAAAAACAATATCTCAACTTAAATGTAAGAACTTCTTCACTGCTTCACATTCTGAGTGGAGCATAGAACTTCAAGATTTGAGGTTTCAGTAGTGTTGGGGTTTTTTTACGGTGTGGGGTTCGGGGTTTACTGTCGTCCAGTAAAATAGGTAAGGCTTAAAAGTGCGTCAGCCGGAAATCGTATCAGAAACACTTGCGTGATTGGCGAACATTCTGTCATTGAACCACCAACGCACTGGACACAAAAACCTACTCTAAGAGAAGTGATTTCCATTTCACTCAAGTATAAATACAAATTTTTCCTGATAAAGACACAAAGTTTTCTTCCAATGCGGTGTTTTATTCTCTATAATCTTTCCAATCAATAACAGAGAATCAAGTTTCTATCCGGTGCAGTAATTATACACTTGTTTACCCAACGGTTCTATAAATTTTAATAAAGCCAGGACAACTAAATGGATTACTTTCATTTTATGAAATCTGATCAGCTACTCCAGCCTGAAACAACTTTGATACCAAGATTTACATTTTTAATAAAAAGTATCATTATGTTACCAGTTTCTGATTTATTGATAAAAGAAATTATTGATTCGTTACGACTACTTCTGATGACTAAAATTGAGTAATTATTGAGAATGGTAATCAAAATGACCTCATAGGAGGAAGTAAAGTGAACAGAGAAAATTAGGGTCATTATATATGTATATGTGTATTCCTATTTATCACCTGACTTTGACCAACATGATAGTGAGCAGTTCCACTGATTATTTTAAGATTTTAATAAGTGTTCTTAATATGATAATAGAGCATAAATTAATATAAGAAATATATCAAACAAATTTGTTTCTAAATGTCTAAGTTTGGCTTAATTCGTTCGATAGCTACTGCCTCAGAAAAATGCATCAATTTCCAAATTATCTGTCTGTTAATTGCCTCAACCCACCAGAGGATATAGGCATTTACACTTATTAAAAAGATGACTAATAATAGGGCACTGTTTGAACTGAATTATCCGGAACAGGTATTTCATGTAACAGGTTAAGAGCCATACTTATCGAGTGGGAGATGGTGCTATTACCCAGTTGCTCAGACTGAATTAAGTGGTGTAGGACTTGAACCCGTGACCTATCGGCTGGAAACTGAGGTGTGCCGATGGAAGAACAGAAATAAGCTTCTATAACCGTATATTTTGCTATCTATAACTAAGAGCCTTTAATGCCATAACCTAGCGAGTGATTTTTTATTGATTCCCGTTTATTCACATTTTAATCTTTCTCTATCTGGACGAAATATTTTCCTATCAAGTTGATTCAGGTGTGTAATCCAATTTTTTATACATGTCATTGGATTATAACTAGTAGTGTAGCTGGCAAGTTTTTTTCTTCATTCTAATTGAAGTCTATTATTTAGATTTTTGCTCCTGATATGTACTTATCACGACTGTCCTACTCTGCATTCATTTTCAAAAAGCGACTGTTCTAGAGGTTACAAGCAGTTGATTACATAAAACTGATTTCTGGTCAAAGCAAAGTTTCAGAACCAATTAATATACTCACTTAGCTAAGAAACAAGTGGAGTTATGTTATTCTGTTATTGTGTTATGGGATGAGACAAGGTGCCTGCACACTTTTCCAGATCACTATTAGTTACTCATAAGTAGTAGGCTGCAGCACGAGACATTTACTTTTATTTTTTTAACTTATCCGACTTCAATGCTTGCATTTCAAAGGCAATACAGGTTTCCTTTAGCTCCATTGCCTTAAATTATTTTTTATTTAATTGCAGTTCATTAGGCAGTATGGGAGTACCACTGCAGTATGAAAGAAATTTCCGTTCGAAGTTGAATTATTTCCGCGCTTGTTGTACAAATGCTATGCTGAGCGGTCAAACAAAACTTCTTATATCAAGAGACAATCTATTAGAAGATTCATTCCAACTGGTAAGTCCCATTGCTAGTAAGCATCAACTTATCAACCAAAATGTTGGAATATCATTGTAGTGTTTTTTTTTTAAACTTCCTGCGACTGTACTATAGGGAATACTCACGTAATTCTGTTGTAATTGTTGCAACGACTCAATCAAATTAAACAGTAGCTAAAAGATCAATGTGCGTCGGTGGCACAGCGGTTAGGACGGTCGCCTTCCATGCACATGGTCCGGGGTTCGATCCCCGGCCGACGCACTCCTTTAACTCGCTAAGCCAGAAATAAAGCTGGTAAAGGGGAAAGGTTGGGAATGAGGCTAGCAGCCCCATCCTGTAAAAATAAACACTGCTACAGAAACTTCAAGCCTCCAGCTTGAAAGCCTATGTTCCACTGGGAACGTGAAGGAATAAAAAAGAGATTAATGGATTGAGTATTCATTCATATTAGAAAATGCCCAAAACATTAGCCATGTCACTGAATTTCCGTCAGTATTGATCACACTTAACACCGCGAAGTGAATGTATTGGCTTGCTTTTACGACAATGCTCTTCATGTGTATATTAAGCCACATTGTTATTTTTATCAGTACGAAAGTACCAAGTAAAGATTGATTATACATGTATAGGTGTTAATACCTTGATACGATTGGAGTCGTGTCATATGTATACAATCTCTTTCACAAAAGAAGATAGTAACAAATATGATAAGTTCTAATGAGTACATAGTCGCCAATATTGATCGAAACACGACGATATCAATGAGCATAGCATCATTCCAAACGGTACTTTTGATTCAGTTTAGAATTCTGAACAAGTAGAGCAATACTGCATCCAGTTTTTCTCGTTATATGACATAATAAGGGGAAAAATAATTACAGTACTCTTTTTAATACGTATAGTAATAATAATGACTATGACTAATGAAGAGTCCCAAACTAGGACGAAACAGCTGTCCAGTACTCCCAGGTTTTCCAATGGTTCTCTAACCAATGTCAGCTCATGATGAAATCCTGTAACCAATCAACCAAATCCCTACAAACCAATACTTGAATAATATATATACATATATATCAGTTTGAAATCAAAATTATAAATTACTAGAAGTGGTGGCAACAATATACTAATGATACTTACTTACTTTACTTCGGCTATCTCCTACGGGAGGATGAGGCGGCTTCATGAACATCTCGAATCAACGCCGTAGCATGGTGAGAGTCGTTTGTAAGAGAGTTCATGAAGTTTCATGGGAATTTGGTACGAGTGATGTCCCCAGAATCGCTCGGCCTTTTGTTTGAGAGTGCAGCTCTAGCCTTTACACAACCAAGTGTGACCTACAAGGCAGTAGGAGTGGAGTAGGGAGTCCACTATCCATTGGCAGCCGGTGACCGGAGTTCGGTTCATACGCCTTCTTGAATGGGGCCAGACATCCAGGACATCCAACAAGCCCTTTGTCCATACGTCTGCCGGTGAGCTCCAGTAAGCTTCATACGCCAGTCGTTGGAGGTTTGGAATCAGGGTTTAGCCATCTCCCCTAGACTGTCAACCAATGGACAGTCAACCCGGTGAAGAGCGCTGGGCATCCGCTTTCGCCCTCTCACTTTGGTGAAAAACACCTCCACCATGTGAAGGCAATGAGTAGGACTTCTTCAGGAGAGGCTATGTAAGACGCCCGGTCATATGGGAGCATTTCAAGAGGTTTGCGGAGGGGTGGCCAACTCGCAGCGCAAGGCACCCACCCGCGACCATCCTGAGGCTTTGGAGGCATACTAATGATAGAAAGAATATAAAAAGTCTGCTATTTACTGTTTCTCTGTAAGTTATTAGTTTCATGCCGAACACTTTTTGTACCACATAGAATTCTTGGCAAATAAGTTATCATTGTGTTTTTAGTCGAACAAGAAAAGTTGAAAGGGTGACATAAATAATTATCTTATTATTATAATAACAAGTGAGTTGTAATCAGGATGCGCATAGATACGAAATAAATGTGGCATTACATAAGAATTCGACGTGGTGTCCAACTGTTGCACTTTGTATAAAGACGCCACTACCAAGCGAGATAGTGTGTTCTTGAACGCTTTTTAAACAGGATACGCGTCGAACGAAGAATATCCCAGTCTTCACTTCTTCATGTGCTTACTTTTTGTGACCGAAGTGTTCAAACATGTTGTGTTGAAGCGCACATCAGTTAGAATAGAGGTGGTATCTGCTCACCTCTTGCCATAAAAAGACAACAGAGGGATTAATTATACAATTAGTCATTAAAGGCTCAACATACTATTTGTCTGTCATGTACTTACTTCAAATAGAAAATTATCTGAAGATTGTTCAGATGTCACGCAACTAACTCATGACAAATGCCTTCTTTCATGCATATTTTTGTTACTAATCCTAAACCGAATTCGATCGACATTTTGTTTCACAACATTAAACTGCTATATGCATTTTGTATTAAACTATGAATTCTATGTCAGTAGGTGATTAAGTTCAACATCTCACTGTCAACGTGTATGTCCTGAGCATTGAATACTCAACCATACAGTTTTATCATACAAGTTAGCATAGTGTAAATTTTGTTTAACAAAAATCAATAATAATAATTAAACTCTAAAATTCTCCACTACTTAAAGCTTTTTCATTGCATCCAAGGTATCTCAAATGTCCACTTCTGGATTAAGAAGACGTTTGTCGATTACATTTCTTCACGAGGAAGGTCTAGATTATGGTGGTGTAGCCAGGTATGTATGAATTTTTCACCATGTACATATTTATGCGGTTGCTGATACATTGGTTAATGGTACATTTTAAAAGCAAGGTATACAAGCAATCGCTTGTTTGTTTTAAATGCACTAATTCTGTACACGGAGGGGATGCAATGTGTGTGTGTGTGTGTGCGTGTATGGGTTATTTCATTGTATGACTATTTTTATAACTTAATCATATAGAAAGATTTTTGTTATTTTGTACTTTGGAATTAGTAAATTCTGTTTGCTCTGAAGCTTAACCATTGTTTCGCAACACCAATTGTTTTCAGTACACAGATGACGAAAATCAGATAAATTTTATTTTAAATAGCTGAATTTACTAACTGAATGATTTCAGTCCGTCAGCTGTGTAGCGTCGGCATTATAACCTGAGTTATTCACTGCACATTACATGTGCTTGTTTTAACATAATTCACAGTTATTACAATATTGTGATAAGTGAGAATAAGCCAGCCGCAAAAGTGCTATCCAATAAACAATGAGGCATCATCGATTGAGTGAATATGTCAAGAAATTATCTTCTTCTTCTTCTGTATCTAGACGAACTTATGCTAACGACGCATTCATACTGATGTCTGTATGCTACTCAGAAGTCGCAGTCTGGGATTTTGAGGTCCATATCAGATTAAAAGAAAAAACACACCAGGAAATTAAATGGCAATCGACGTCTCAACGCATTATCTGTTTGTCTGAAGTTTGAGTGGACTTCAGTTCATGATTCAGAATAGTTTGGTTCATAAGAGTGACGAATATAGTGACCAGGAAATTAGCAAGAAAGCATACTGATTCAATGTGTAAAACTATATACTGCTGATTGGTAGAGATGGGTAGTTGCACACCACTAATATCAACCAGTACTGCTTGCTAGCCAGATCGACATGATCTAAACACCGGACGGTCGTTGCTCTTGTTTGGGGCTGAGTTCATCAGTGGTGTGCCCGGATAGGCCTGGGCTGAGACAGCCGAATCAGTTCAAACCACCCGATAGCTGGCTGGCAAGCACTACTGGTTGATATGAGTGGTATACAACTACTCACGTCAATCAATCAATCAGTGGTATATAGTTTTATGCACTTATGCTTGCTTTCTTGACTACCACTCATGGTATTAAGCAGATCACATATGTTGTGATTTGAGTAATTTTGATTTCCAAACTAAACTATAGTGAAATTTAGCCTCCTGTGTGTAGACTGTGTAAATTGCGAATTCGATTTGTATTGACCCAAGTTTTCATGATTCTCTTTCCTATCCAGAGAATGGTTCTATCGTTTGTCAAGGGAAATTCTTAATCCAATGTTTGGTTTATTCGAGTATACTGGAACTGATTATGCCTTACAAGTAAATCCAGCCTCTCATGTCAATCCGAATCATATGGCGTATTTTCGATTTGTTGGTCGCTTCATCGGTATGGTAAGTCTATTGACGACTCATTGTTTGCACTTTGGATTGAAGTCAGTATTTAGAGTAGAAATGGTGCGCCTTATGTTTTAAGAAAGCTTATGAAACCTATTCGAGTTTCTACGCATCGCAGTTACATTGTAAATCGAATGCAGAGCATTTTAAGCTGATACTCGGATAAATGGCTGCTTTCCTTTGGTTTATCTGCATTTGTTCGAAAAATCGCTCCTTTCGTTTGTGCGATGTTGACTAAGTATTTTTTTTATCTATTGAAATGTGATGTCGGAAACTACTTTGTTTCGTGTTACAGTAAATAAACTGTTCAACATAGGTTGGGTTTCATTTATCAGTATAAATCATTTATCGAAACTTAGTAAAATCTCGCTGTATTCAGTAGAAGCATTATGATTTGTCTCCCTCAGGATTGATCCCTACACAATGATTATATCTATGATGATTGAGTTAGTTAATTTTCTTGTACTACTAACAGTTTCAGTTTTACACTTTTGTGCTGCACTGTAGATTTATTCGTGTTCTTTTCGTCATTCTTACTTCAGGCTCTTTTTCATGGTCGGTGTATCGATGGTGGTCTTACTTTGGCGTTTTATAAGCAAATATTGAAGCGAAAGCTGACACTAGAGGATCTCAGTCATACAGACCATAGTTATTATCAATCGTTAATTTACATCAGGTGAGAGATTTTGTTATGTACTTTTTTTACGTGTTAAAAGAAAACACATTACTATTGTAAACTGTCTAGACTTTTATATACAACTGAATTTAGATATGCCAGCAGTCCTCTACGGTCTGTACACGTTATTCGGTCTAATCAGCATGGTGTTGGGTTGATAATTCAGAGAATTCCGACTTGTCTTCCACTAGTGATTCAAGTCTTATTCTATGTTCAGCATGTATTCTGTGTTGCCAATACTATCGATGATGTTCAAATGCTGCATCTGTGGACAGGGTTTGTCAAACTGTCAAGGCCTTTATAATGCAAACCTGCAGGAGCACTTAGGTAGTCAGATATGGGATTCTGAATCATTAGGTGAATGGTAATATACTTCTCTATAAACCTGACTGTTTTTCGTAGAGTCATGGGTTCGTACTGTCAAAAGGTCTCAAATCTGTACAAAACGCTTGTTTAATTTCCCCTTGTTTCCAGAGTTGTTTTTTTTCTAGATTATATCACTTCGCGAAAACGCTTACTTTCGTATCTCATATAACTGAAGTGATTGTAGCCCAGTGTATTATTCTTCTTTCTTGCCTTCTCTTTCTTCTTGCCATTCAGGGACAATTCAGTCGATGATTGCGATTTGGGCTTATATTTTGTTGGGACCTATGATCTGTTAGGCGCTGTCCACGAGGAAGAGCTTATTGAGGGTGGTAAAGACATAAAAGTGACAGAAGAAAATAAAATGGATTATATCAGGTAAGAGTTCGGTGTTCAGGTTAATTAGCTGTACTATGTAACATGTTTTATGCATAAGCAAGTTCCGCTTTCGATTGACTTTCGTGTTAGTTACCTCTTCCCAAATTTCTTCTCTCTTTAACTACTAATAAGTAATTATGGTTAAAGAAGAATACAATTCTGCAGTAAAACCATAATAATCCAACAGGAGGTGAGTCGAGGACCTAAATAGTTCAATAGTAACATCTCCAGCTGAAGCGTTATATTACATGGGTCTGAATCTACTAGGGAACATCACTTCCTTCGAGTCTGCAGATACACCTTGCTAACGAGTGCCAACAAGCACAAATCCTAGGTCCAGAGCTTCCTATTAATCGCCTCCAACCATGCAACATTAATTCAAAGTGCACTACGATGATGCATCACTTAACCCGGTAAACACAATGCAAACTTGACTGATAAAATTCAGTCAGCACTGAGGACTAGACACATGACATTGGTTGCCTCGCAGTGACCAATCACAATGCAAATAACTTTGTTTTCAGAAAGTTGTGGCCTCGGATTTATATTTCGCGTTATCGTTGCATATATATAAAATATCTTATGATTAACTTGATCTGGTCAAGGAAAGTGTTTGCTTTCCTAAAGTGTAGAAACTCGAACTGATGTATTTCTGTGTGTAAAGTTCTACGTTGATAATTCATTTCAGATGCAGTCCTCTATATTCCATCCTTCATCCCAGTATACTCCTGTGCTGTCTTCAACTAAACCTTCGTTAATTACATACTTTCAGTTCAGCCTCCACAGCTGCGGTAAACCGTATTCTCTTTTGGTAAGGTTTATGAACTAGTTACTCTCAGCAAAGCAGCAGCTTAAACGAGATTATTTGTAAACTACAATTTCCTTCTGTGAACAAACTGGATGCAATTTCTTTACTATACTAGAACTTGTATTGAAGACACTACAATAATATTTTGAAATTTTATTTTATATAGATAGATCTATGCAATGCGTAACTTCCTTGCTGGTGATATATCACTATTTGACAACAGGATTGTCAGATATCTCCTTACTTAGTCCAGTGTCATAGTCAATAGAACTAGAGTAGTTCATATTGCTAGTACAGATGTCCCGTTGAAGTAAATCTTTAATCTTTTTTCCATTGAAGATAGTGTGTTGCATGCAAATAAATAATTTTAAGTATAGTGGAGTTTATGATTACAAGTGCTTGGTGATATATGAATAGATGGAAAGCGAATTGTTCTACACAAATGTGCATTACATTATTATTATTATTATTCCCTTAGGTTCCGAGTGGAAAATAGTACTTCAGCTTCACATCACCATTTCACTCTGTTCTCTACAGTCTTTTTTAGCTGGCTCAAATATTGGCCATAAGCTCTCATCTACTCCTCACATGTTCCCCCTTCACATCATCCTCAGACATCCAACTCCTCGCTTCTCATTCGGGTTCCACTCGAGGGCCTTGGAATTTCTGACAGACACCTATTCATTGCATGGAAATCATTTCAACAGTATTTTGACTGTATTGCTTGATTTTTCATTTCAGATTGATGGTCGACTGGAGATTTAATAGAGGTGTTGCCAAACAAACAGAAGAGATTCATAAAGGTATCTTTGAAGTACTAAACCCTGAATGGTTACAACTGTTCGATGAACGTGAACTTGAAGTAAGCTTAAAATTTCCTAAACGTCGCCCAATTATATTTCACGAGCTTAGAATAATGATACCTTTTTTTCCGAGTGTCGAATTGTTATGAGTTAAAATAAATTTACTTAAGAACTTATAAATGCAAGTTAAAAATAGTTTAGCACAATCGCATAATGGTCAGATTTACTACACTTAAAATCAGCATCATCAAGAAAAGAAGAATGAAAATGTTTCTGTTATATATATATGTATATATTCTTTTAACTAGTGGTGGATTAATGTATGAATAATGCATTCATAGTTTGAACAATTCATTCATATTGCAAACTCTGCAAAGTAGGATAGCAACTGGTGTTGTCTTATAACCTTTAATAGGCTAACACCTTGATTATTTGGATAGCGTTATTAGAAGATGGAGATTATCTGAAAAATGTGATGTATTTGCGCTATACATTTTGAACAATCTGATCACACATTTACTTGTCAAGTCGATATATATATATATATAATATATATATATGAAAAAATTAAAGGCAATTAAATTACACAAAGTGATAAAAAAGGATTTAAGAATGATTAACACAACGTTTGGTAATCCAATCAAATAAGGATTACCAAGGTAGGTTAAGAGTAATAATAATCAGAGGGGGCTTAAGTTTATGAATAGCTATAGCCTCGGCGTATTTCAATAAGCGCCCTTGACCGTTTTTATAGATGACCTTAAAGGCTGAGTTAACATCAATCTTATGGTTCATCTCGATTAGGTGTTTAGCTATAGACGAAGTTGGTAGTCTGACACCTGCATCTATTGGTTTTTCACAATTCATTTGTTTTTTCTAGCCATTTTGGGATATGCTCTCCCACCTTCACATGCAAAGCGCGATTACTCCTCCCTATGTATGTGTGACCACACACACACACACGAAAATTGGTAAATGGTGTGGGATGTGACATAATCACTTGTGCACTTTTGAGGTTTGCAGTGGAGCATATTTTTAGCTTTTTCGACAATTACAAGCTGGGCTGCATAATAGGTTCTACGGATGATCGAATTCAACCTTTGTCTCGAAATCCTAGTGTTTATTTCCCCGTTATATGGTAATTTGATGAAAACATTTTTCTTAGGGACGGTATGGATTGTAGGTTTAGAGACTAATTGACTTCTACACCTGTTTAAAAATTTTTTCATACATATCGACTTGACAAGTAAATGTGTGATCAGATTGTTCAAAATGTATAGCGCAAATGCATCACATTTTTCAGATAATCTCCATCTTCTAATAACGCTATCCAAATTTATAAAAGGGACTAATTGTTTTAAACCTTGATTATTATCGCATTATTAAGTAGGAATTCCGTAAGTTCACTAACATCGGTGGTCTGTGGGAAAGAGGAACGAATTTTTTGTGACATCTGGATACTTAAACTCCCTCCTAAACATTCTCATTTAATAGATTAGTATTGGCCTAATCCTTAGGATACAAGATATCATGGTTTATGAATTGCTCACTTCCGCGTTCTAGGTGTCTTTGCAGGTTTTTGATCGACGTACCACTTAACCCATACACCGTCCAGCTGACACTGTGCTTCTTCCTGCCAGCAATCCGGATGAGGCGGAATAGCATTAGACTGTTGCTAAGTGCTGTTGCATCTCACATGCACTATCTGTCTACCATATCTCGCGATCCTTAAGTGAGTATGAGTTCGTTTTCATATTTCGCTGCCAATTTGCTTACGTCAACCTCTTTAAAACAACGTTTATGATGACCACCAGAATACAGGATATGATGCACACACTGAAGCATCGTCAAAATGCAGCCAAGTAATTCAGCAGGAACAGCAGTCCTCTGTATATCCATCCCATCACCAGCTGACGAAAATGTGTTCTGTTTCAAATAGGTTTTAAGATGCTGGCGAAGAATGTCAGATGACACAACAGCGATGGATAAAACAGATGTTGATACCAGCTAGAAATACATTGTGGTTCCCACAGAGCTGAAAAAGACGGTCCTTATCGATTGAACTGCAACAGATTTATCCCTGTTGACCTCTAAAATGACTCCTCTTTGAGCCTAAACAATGTCTGTGCCTTCGTGTCCCCACCTAACACTGTGATATCTGTTGAACACACTTGGTTGAAGTCACTCAGTTGGTGATAGGACTCATCCTTAGTTCCATCCAGACTCCACCAGTGTCTGGGCATCATTTCGACACATGATGAAAAGACGACGCTGCTCTAGACATTTGTTTCTTACTGTGATATGCTCTATAGTGCAGCAGCATATAAACGACTGTCCGTGTCGATTCAGACCGTGCCTCTACTGATGATGGTGGGATATTTGGGCCACATATTCTTGGTTTGTTCGTTCGTTCCCTTAGTTCCCTGTCGCTAACCCTTTCTGGTCATCTGATCTTCAGTGTGGAACGAAGGCAGATGTTGATAAGTGTCTGCAGTCTGTTGGAAGTGCTTTTAGTGACTCGCCAAGTCTCTGAATCATGCAGAAGTACTGACTTGACATTAGGGTCTTGGAAAATCCGAATCTTGTTCTTTATATTGATTGCAACAGATTTCCAAACTGATCCTGGCTTTGACATCTTCATCCATGTCGCTTGTAGCTGATAGTGATGGAAATGATAATAGTAAATTTAAAGATTGTAAAAAATTGAAATCTGAAACATTCTGTTCACAGTATGTTTTGGGATCATGTATTCTAATAAAGTACGCATTGTATTGTCGTGTCATATATCGTTTGAAGGCGAAAATTCTATGTGTATGCTTAGTAGGGCGGGCAATGTTATGCGATGGATTCTGACAGTTGGCAGTAATAAAGTAGATTCATACGCTATTCGTCGCTTTTAGATCCAGCGGTATATTTGCATTATTGGTTTGGAATAAGGCTTTTCCACTTCCTTATATCTACCAGTCTTCTGGTGTTCTCACTTAATCCTCCACTTTTATCAGATTTAATTTCACTGTGTGGAGGTAGAACTTACTTGGCAAATGCTTTGTGAGTGTGGTAACATGAAGGTATTTGTAGGAGAAACTAGATTCCATCCATCGTCGGTCGTACTAAGTAATTTATGCGAGGGTACGTAGTAAGTTTAGATATTGAATACTTCTCCAGAATACCTTAGCAATTTCTTAGCTTCTTTACCTAATTATCTATACATCCCCCATTGTATTTATAATGTGCCTAGTTGGGTTTTGTTTTCTTCGTGTTCTTTCAATAAGCTGTGGCTCACTGGTTTAGGCTGTCAACTTCCAACCACTGGGTCACGGATTCTAACCCGCTCTACCTACTGAGGTTTGGCCCTCACACATAACAGGTGTGTAGCAATGGCTAGCTACATTCAGTTGCAAGTGAAGCTTTTGTTAGCCGTGTGCTACTGTTATGTCTAAATCTAGCAAACACTTTCATACGAGTTAAGTTTGCGCAACGCGCAATGTTTCAATCCTAATTATTAACTGACTGGATTGTTCATAATCAGACTATAACTTTGTACAGTTCTCTACATTACAAACTATTTCAATATAGAAAAAATCCCCATTTAGAAGACAGAAAGATTGAGCGAAGAAATATTTACTTTTCAATTAGGTCCTCATCTCTGGCTCTACTCCAACATATATAGCATTTTTATTACAATACACATCAATTTACCAAACTAGTGGCGATATGTTTGTTAACAATAATTAAACAGTGTCAATACACATTTAAAAGGTAGAAATGGATAGAATAAATTAATTTTACAAGGATAACACGTAATTAAAGATGAAGTGGTCAGAAAAAAATAAAAAATAATAATTTGGACAGTTATAATTTTTATAGTTTTTAAAGGTTTAAGGGGAGGGGGGCGACGTAGTCCTTTTGATGCATTCTTGTAATGATTGCCACGGTAAGGAAAGTGGCTGTACAAATTTCTTCTGAACACATAGGCTTGGCTTCTTAAGGTGGATTCCGATTGCTTGAGCTGTCTGTAGAAGACGAACTCATAGAGCAAAATTAAGATTAGTCGCAATGCGATAAATAATTTTAAATGCAGTATTAACATCAACCTTATGCTCAGTATCAACAAGGTGTGCTAAAATAGAACTACGAATAGATCTTGTTTGTCCCTTGCTTAACCATGCTGGATGATGTTCGGAAATACGACGATGAACCTGCCTAATTGTACGCCCAATGTGGCTGGCTCCGCAGCTGCAGTCAAGCTGGTGGATACACATAGAAGAGGCAAATTTAGGTAGTTTGTCCTTATTTCTCGAACATAGAATAGGGGTGGTTGTGAAGAGACAACGTACCTCTGCTGCATAATAAGCTCTTTTAACTGCATTCTTCAAGCGCTTTGTTATGATTTCGCTGATGTTGTCACCGAGGAACTGCAGTTTTATTAATATTGGTTTTTTCGAAACTGTAGCAATACTGACTCTCCTTGGTGCTGAATTCATATTTTTCTCAATGAATTTATCTGGATAACCATTTTTCTAAGTTATTCTCTGATAATCTTAAGCTCCTCATAGAGGCAATCGTCTGAACCAGACACTTTACCAGGTTACGTTTATATTTCAAAGGTACAAAACTCAAAAAATGAGTGTACTGACCTGTTGTTGTAGGTTTCCTATACACACTCCTTCTTAGTGTGCCATCTTCTTTCCTTGCCATGAAGACGTCTAGGAATGAGATACTATCATTACTTTCTTTCTCTATGGTAAAGTTTATTGCTATTTCATATGGAATTCCTAATCAACTATAGTGCTCAAAGTGTATTTAATACTACAACATACGCTTTAACCTCTTTTGGAAATCGATAATACAAACAGTGAACGCTCAACTCTCCAGTTAATGAATAGCTTTTTTTCTATTTTTAAATTATAAATGTTAAAATAATAAAAACTAGTTGGTTAGTTAGTTAGTTGTAGGTTTACGTATACGGGCTGAAAAAAGAACTTTTAATTGCCCTCAAACTTAATCTATGCTTGTTTACAATCAATGGTCATTATGACACGTTTATTGTAAAAAATAAAATAGTAATAATTAATGTGTATTGTTTTGTGAGTTCTAAGTTAATTATTGATATGTCTTCTTTTGTTCTCCTCCTATGTATTTCTCTCTCTCTCTTTTCTTCTGCATATGCTTTCTATTGTACCTTGTCGCTGTATATACCGTCACAGTTAATTGATTAAAATATTTACATATACTATTGGGTTGGTTATTCTGTGATTTGTTATTTCCTTAAGCGGGAACATGTGATTTCACAGCAAACCCTATACACCCAATTCAGTTGAAGACTTCTTTTACAAGCAGACACTTTCTCCAAGTTGGCAAAGATACATAGATCGTCTTAACACTCTGGCGAAGCTGAATAATTCAAGGAGTGTGCAGACTGTCTGGTTGGGGGCTTTGAAACACTAAGTACCCATACCTTGAGACTTTTGATAATATGCCCCAAAATCGTTCTCAATAGAGCTCAGACACATTCACTCTTTGTAATCACTTAGATTCATCAAGTCCTCATGCTTCTTTATGTAATTAGTTTTTCTCCCGTACCTTTCTGTCCACTATAATTCTCTTAGATCCTTTTTCTCTATCTTTGTGTGCTATATGTAGTGTGACAATCTGAACTACCTGACTTTTATGCAAACCCAGTCAATTAGAATGATTCTATATCTCTAGCTCTTTGTCATCATGCTAATAAATCTACAGTATCTTTATCAGGAGAAGTAAAAGTGTATTAGAAGAATCTCTTGATTAGTAACTGTTAGTATTGTTCTAACTGGTCTAAGTTTATGACAGGATATTTCTGATATCATTTGTGAATAGATTTCTCCAATGGCCACGTTCTACGTTTGATCATTGGTCTTCTAATCTCTTCCTCACTACTTAGTATACTATATTGTTTGTCAGTCGACTTTAGTTGTAAGCATACTTAAACTTTAGGAGATCTGGATTTCGCAGATGATATGTCTGATGTCACACAAACCCGAAGACTTACAGGTGAAAAGCAACAAACTGGCTGGAGAATCAGGTTGTGGAGACAGGACTCCAGGTGAATATGGAGAAGTTGAAGGCGATGAAGATAACCGATAAACAGCAACAATAACCAGCACCAATCACTATCAGCGAGAGAAATTTGAAAGAGGTTACTTTCTTTACTTATCTAGGAAGCATCGTTTCAACCACAGGCAGTCGGAACAGATGAAGATGTCAAAGCCAGCCAGCCAGCCAGAACTGGAAAGGCATGATACGCCTTCATCAATCTGAAATCAGTTTGGAAATCTGCCGCATTCAGCATAAACAGTAAGATTCGGATTTTCAACACAAATACGAAGTCAGTTCTTCTATACGGGTCAGAAACTTGCACTACGTGTCATGAAAAGGATTTCCAACAAGTCACAGACTTTTGTCAATAGTTGCCACCTTCGCTGGCTGCATACTGAAGATCAAATGGCCAGCTGGTCAGAAAGAATTAGCAACAATAGAAACTCTGGCTGGGAACAAACCAACCAAGAGCCTATTTCTCAGTAAATATGTAGGAGAAAATGGAGATGGATTGAGCATATGTTGAGGAGGCTGTCGACTGAGATTGTGCTCAATGGAGGCTATTTCTTGAGTGGAGTTCGGTTAGGAAGCGACGAATAAGTCGGTAGTGCAACAGTGACATGAAGGAGATGGGAGATTATGGGCAGTCGTGGAGCTAGCCACCTGAAGAGAACAGCAGAAATTAGAAGAAAGTGGCGATGTGTTATTGAAGTCCTATGATCCACTCGGAACCCAAGGGAATAATAACGAGTTTTATAATACTCTTAAAGTTTGTCATGCTAAAAATGTATGTTTATAAAGCTGTCCCCATATTCGTGTAAGCAAATATAAATGTAATAGTATTCAGAATCACAGTTGTTGTTATTATCACAATATCTGCTGGTCATTAAGTGTTAACAAGTCCTCTTTGTAAGGAATATGTGACACAGAAAACCATACAAATAACAATTCATAATTGGTCTGTCTACAGATTGTAGCTGTCTTGAATTCAGTTACCTGTATTCCATGAATTAATGCATATTTAAGCAACATTTATTCAGTATTTGAATAGTGTTTCTATTTATTATCAGATTGTTCATCAAAATTCTGATCATTAGTGAATCCCATACGGGATGCTTCAGTGAGCATTTCACGTTTATGTGAGTAGTTCTGTCAAATGTCATTGACAGAAATAAGTGTGGAAATTATTTTTCCTTAGCCACAAATATCCTGTGTAATATATCTTTTATGTATATCGAAAAGGTATATCGGAACTAAAGTGCAGCCTATCGTATAGATCTTGCACTTCTTCCGAGTTATTATTAACTCAACATCGAATCTGATGTTTATTATTATTATTATTCGCAATATATAAAGCCATCGCCAGTCAAAATGATCGGCACCTATCTGGTAGAATTTATGGACTATTGGATTCCCTCCAAGTAACTGAATGGTAATGTGCTCTCCTGCAAGTAACTGATGAGATCCTAAAAAGCAGAATGACACTATCTTGGTTTACCTGTATATTTATATCGACCTTATATTTTATTTAGTTAACTAATGAAGATGTCATAGATGATAAGTGAAGAGAAAGCTTGCTGAATCAACCGATGATTCTGTTGAGTGAGTAGATCTTGTAGCTTAATCTGTAGATTGTCTGTGGGGTTACTAATATCTGAAAGACCACTGACTAGACTCCTGTCGCAATCCAGGCTTTCATTTCATTTTTGGCCATCGCTCATTGCATTAATATCAGCCGAAGGCTATCTCGGATAGTAGACTTAATTTTTTCCTACACTTATATAGTTCAGATTGTGTTTGACTTTTTCTAGACGAATCTGAGTTTTACTGCCTTGTCATTTGAGTCAGTCTTTGAGTTTCAGTAGTTAAACTATCCGTTTCATATAAATGCATCGTTCAGACCTCAACTAAACATGGATGCATTATTATTAGAGGTATTCTATAAACTATTTTATCTTAATTTCCAATCCCTCCCACCCGAAATCTGCATTTAAAAAAATATTAACTGTTCAGTTTGATGAACTGTTCGTCAGAAGTTTAAGTAGTATGCAGTGTGGTCTGATCATAGTCTGGTTTCATTTATTGTTTCTGTTGCAAAAATGAGAAATAGGTAATAAGTAGGTACTCTATGCGTACTGTTTACCTCATCGTGCTTTTTTTTTCACTGATTTTCACTTCTTTTTTCAATTTTGTCTGTTCATACTTTCCAACACACTGTTTCGCTTTATTATTGTTTCACTAGCTTTTATTATCCGGTATGCCAGAAATCGATATCGACGACTGGGAAAAGAATACTGTCTACCTAAAGTATACACGGTCGAGTAAACAAGTTATTTGGTTTTGGAAGGTAGGTATTACCCACCAGTCAGTAATCAGTCTGTTAAACATTTTATTTTAATTGCAAATATATCATATATGTAGATGCGATCGGTGGGAAGCTCTGAACCCAGGTTTCTTGCTTACTGGCGCTTGTCAGTAAGGCGTATCTGCAAACTCGAAGCAACTGGCGCTCCCCCTCGAAGATTCGAACCTGTGTCACCCATTGCTGTTATATCATATTTATAATGTTTACTTTTCTGGTTATTATGCTCGTTTTTTTTTCCGGGAAAATGCCGATAAGAAAAGTGGATATTTCATCAAGATTATAGTTATTGTGCTACTTTTGCACATAGAATCTCTATTTCGATTATGGTCTTCGTAATCATCCACAGGTTTCTTTGTCAACAGATACTTTCTTTTGTCGGTGTGTTTCACTAGTTTTATTAAGACATTTTCGAAGTTGCCATAACCTCTTATAAGACAATAGATTTTGATCAATATTCATCGGAATATTTGTGGGTCATGTTTCATTGACTTGCTGTCATTAATCTCTATTTTCTTTTTATACTGTGTTCTCCTGTGACAACTGATGGGTAGATTTCGAGGTCATCATTGTTATATTTACGCAAGTAAATATTCTATATTCTTATTTCAGTGTAATACATATCAGCTTTAGATAGATAGATTTGATGTAATTGCACTTTTCAGTAAATAATACACTTGCCTTGGTTAAGTTTACGCTCCATTATAATATTTTAAGGTAAGCTATATATATACAATACCGTTCAGTTCATCTCCTTGATAAAATTGCAGATCGCGTTGTATTTTCCTGCGGAAATGTTCTTCATTACAATTTGTCGAAATTCTCACTTAGTAAGAATTGTAGCAATTAGTTATTTCAGTTTAGCAATACCATTAGAGTATAAATATAGGGATCTTTCATTTTGTGAGGTTATCTTTGTCCTTTTGTCTATGAGAATAGCGTTTCTATTTGTTTTTGTGAAGTATTTATTGTGCGGTAATAGAGAACATCTGTAGCATAAAAGGCATTATTTTGCTTGTTAAATCCTCTCTGAGTCTAATGTTTGAACTATCGATGAAGCTAACTTCAAAGAGAAGTGGTTTATGTGAATTCTGCATAAATAACGGTATGTTAACTTGGCGTATATAATACTCAGTCTTTTTCCTCAACCGTGTCGATATTACCAACAGTGGGTGCTAACTGAAATGTCACAACGCAATTTCGTGTATATCAGTACACATGGATTATCGTGCTCATTAATTTGTTTCGGAAAGCGTGCGAATCTCGGATAGAGATAATTTGGAGAACTCCAGAAATTCTTCTCAGGTCAATCAGCAATCAATGAGCATTTCGAGAAAGGCTCAACATACCGACTAATGAGAAACACAACCAACAAAAATACTTGTACAGAGAATGTCTACATGATATGTAAGATCAATAGAGCAAGCTACTAAATCATCTGTGGAGAAATCTACACAACCCATTTCTTTCTGTATTTATTGCTGATGATGTTAGAGTTACGATGGAAGCTCCACCAATCAACCATCCAATTGAGAGGACGAAGAAACCAAGCAACTTGCGTCACCTTGATAAACTTTATCTTTGTCCTCACAAAAGACTGCAAGTTTGACACACAGTAACCATGTTCAGTTTGTCATCATTTTTCAAAAATATTTTGATACATTGTCTCATATCACATTGCTTCCAAAGCCTCAGGATGGTCGGGGGTGGGTGCCTTGCGCTGCGGGTTGGCCACCCCTCCGAACACCTCTTGAAATGCTCCCATATGACCGGGCGTCTTACATAGCCTCTTCTGAGGAAGTCCTACTCACTGCCTTCACATGGCGGAGGTGTTTTTCACCAAAGTGAGAGGGCGAAAGCGGATGCCCGGCGCTCTTCACCGGGTTGACTTTCCATTGGATGACAGTCTAGGGGAGATGGCTAAACCCTGATTCCAAACCTCCAACGACTGGCGTATGAAGCTCACTGGAGCTCACCGGTAGACGTATGGACAAAGGGCTTGTTGGATGTCCTGGATGTCTGGCCCCATTCAAAAAGGCGTATGAACCGAACTCCGGTCACCGGCTGCCAATGGATAGTGGACTCCCTACTCCACTCCTACTGCCTTGTAGGTCACACTTGGTTGTGTAAAGGCTAGAGCTGCACTCTCAAACAGAAGGCCGAGCGATTCTGGGGACATCACTCGTACCAAATTCCCATGAAACTTCATGAACTCTTCATCAGATCGCCGCGCCTGGGTAGCGATGATTCGAGATGTTCATGAAGCCGGCTCATCCTCCCGTAGGAGATAGCCGAAGTAAAGTAAAGTAAGTCATATCACATTCTAGTTACTAGTAATTGTTTAAATCATTGCACCTAAAAAGTGTATCTCAATTGTGTTCATGTGTATTTCAAGATCAATAACTTACTGTTTCTTCTGTCTGCTTAAATCTTCATTATGCAGCTTGTCAAAAAACTGGATAATGAACATCGTGCTCGACTTCTTCAGTTCGTCACTGGTACTTGTCATTTACCATTAGGAGGTTTTTCAGAACTAACTGGTGAGTCTATTTAATACTATAATAACTTTATCTTAATTTCAGGAGCCTTACAGACTGATTAATTAAAGCAGAGACAGTAATTTCCCTCCCAGTTTACTGTGAATTTTACCTCAAGTTCAATTGCATTGCTTAAAGAGGTTAACTGCAGTCCACCTTAATTCCTTGGAAGTAAATATCCTTCTGTATCTCATAGAGGTTTTTCAAACACTGTGTAGTCAGTCAAGTGTGTACGTCATATATGACAAGCAGTTACTTTCACGAGCGATACGCTCTATAGTCAAAACAGTCTTATTTTGAAATACAGATCAAATACATGTATTGAGTAACACTTCTATCCTTACATACTTGCTTTGTGACTTACCAAGCGTTAATGCATTTCTGTAACTGTATCTAACGCTATCTTTAAGGTTGGCATAAAACAGAACAGTCCGAAGAACATTAATTATTTCCATCATTTCATGCATAATCCAACTATCGCAAACGTAATACTTTCTAACTATTGATAATGAAATACATCCTTCATACTAATAAAATAGTTCACTGATTCATCACGTATTTTGTATACTCCCCTATGCATTAAATAACTGTACACCACAGAAACAAACACGTTCACTATTTTACTACTGAAATATCTTAATTTATTCAGCTAGCCTGGATGTTCAGGGCTTAGACGTAAAAGTGAAGTCTTGATAAGGAGAGAGAATATCTTTGAGACCATGTTTTCGTAATGATAACAAACTAAAGACTTAAAACCTTTCAGATCTATTTTTATCTGCACGAACTCTTTTAACACTCTACCTCTTAACAAACCACACGGGTTTATGGCTAGTTGGTTAACTGCAGAGCCTAATGAGTCAGAGGTCCTACCAAACACCAAATGGCATTGTCAATATGGTATTTAATTTTAATGTGGTTATTAAATATTGTACCGGGTTTAATCAGAACTTGATCAACAATGCTTCTTCTAATTGATTGAATTTTCTCAATTGTAAAAGCCAGAGAATGAATAAACAGCATACTGCAATTATTTTGTTAACAAAAGCTGCGTTTTATTGTTCAGAAGCTAAAATGTATGGAAACTCCTGTGTAAAGTCAATTTAGGACAGATTTTTCACACTTATCCGTGACGAGCTGATGATATTATTCAGTCATGTAGGCTGAAGTAGGATGTGGGAGATTCAGACCCGGTAATCGTCACGGGTTAAAGGTCAAATACTAGAGCCGTTAAGCCACATTCCCACTATAAGCCGTCTTTTAGGCTACAGTAATCATAATCTTATTTCACACATTGGAAATTATTTGCGAATATACTTTTTGTGCGATAGGGTGCGTGAAGTGTGTTTTGAAGGGAAGTATCTGTTTACTGAATAACTATCCAAAACGAATAAAATACTTAACTAAGGCTTAAAACTAAGCTGAATGAAACTGGATTGTGATAATTCAAAGAAATTTTTGTTTTAGCGTAGCAATTCGCTGATTCCTACAGTATAGATCAGTCTAGCTAGCTGAAAAATCACGAAAACTGTGTTGATTTACTATTTTCAAGTTGCAGAACAACTGGTCTATTTAGTTCTAACTAACTAGTTGGTAAATCAGAGTTGTTTTTTTTTTCGATACTGTTCGATTTTCCTCTTTTTTTATAACATCTAACATGTGTACATCATATTTTTGATTGCCCACTAGTCAGTAACTAGTGTAATATGTCTAGTCCTATCTTCGGTGCAGACTGAATTCTATCAGTCATGTTTGCAATGTGGCCACCATGCTAGGTGGCTCGCCATTACGGTGCACTGTGAATTGTTGGTATTAGATGGTTGGAGGCAATCGGCAGGAAACCAAGTCTTGGACCTAGGTTTCGTGCTAGTTGGCACTCATCAGCAAGGCGTATCTGCAACCTTGAAGGAACTGATATCCCTTCTGAGATTCGAACCCGCGCCACCCAGTGCTGCAGTCAGAGACGTTACCACTGAGCTATTCGGGCTCGCGACTGACCTCCTGTAGGACTGTATTGGATGTTTTTGATTGCACACTAGTCAGTAACTAGTGTAATGTGTCTAGTCCTATCTTCGGTGCAGACTGAATTCTATCAGTCATGTGTACATCAATGGTGCTGATCTCTGGATATTAAACAACATAGCAACTTTGTTTTCAGGATGAATATTTAAGTGGAATTATAGACAACATGCACATACACACATCTTATTTGTTTATAGGGGATTTTCAACTTGTTAAAATAGTGTTCTTCATCACCCACCAGACATCTAGTCTATCTAAATTGAACTGCTTGATATCAGAAAAACTTTTATAGAAACCATTAAAGTAGGTCATGTTAGTGACTAGCATTTAGTAAATTAATATTTAAACACTGAAATTTAATTAATTTGAAAGTTGGATCGTTCTGTGAACCTAATCAAGAGTGAGTGACTGAATGACTTCATTGATAGATAGATTTACGTTAGTCCCTAGAATACTGATCGTGTTTACATTTTGATTTGTAATAATAATAATAATAATTTTTAAATAACCAACTACTTACAATAATGTAAGCTGGTAGTATATAATGTGATGCCGAAAAGTTGTAATAACACATTGGTCGGGATTTTGCAGGAGGTATGCGATTCGCTCCCGCCAAATGTAAGATGATGCTACAGGACTGGACTACATTGACTCCCAGCTTAGAAATATGGAGTGAAGTAGTAGAGCACGTTGACCACTTCACTTATTTGGGAAGTTGCATCGGCTTCAACAAGTTGATTTCTGACGAAATCTCAGCACGGATACAGAAGGCTTGTTTCGCATATGCCAGTTTACGCCGTCTCTGGCGTAGACGTGATATCCGACTATCGACTAAAAGACGTGTGTACTACTCATCAGTCCACTCCGTCCTCCTATATGGCTATGAGACCTGGTCATTGAGAGCGGAAGACATGAAAAGGCCAGCTAGCTGTCTTTGATCATAGGTTCCTGCGTTCTATCTCTCATGTGAAGTGGTATAATAGGGTGAGCAATATTGAAGTTAGGCATCGGTCGAGTGCTACGTAAGGAGGGTAAATCAATCTACGAGGCTGTGAAGCTACATCGACTGAGATGGTTAGGACATGTGATACGCATGCACGCCTAGTCACCGCCTTCCTCAACCGACGGGTGGTGATGTTAGCTGACATAGGGTCAGGCTGGAAAAGAGAGAGCTAGTGGTGGTCAAACCAAAATATTGCTTCATCAGTCAATAAAATCCACAAGAGTTATTTTAAGTCACGTAGGAATGTGTAGACTGGCTTCCTGGTCGGGGTCCTCGGGCTGGTAAAAACCAATGGTTGGAAACAATTGGTGACATGGCTCAAAATCGTTCTCAATGGCGCAGATGCATCTACTCCTTGTGACTTATAATACCCAAATGAAACTACATTGTTCTTCGTAATTACTATTCCTTTTGTCTCATATCCCTGTTTACTGTCTCTATTTTACATTTCTTCCCTTGCTTTGTGTGGTACATGGAGTGTGGCGATTTGAACTGCTGCACTTCGATGCAAAGTTCTATGTTGAAAACACAGATTTTGCAGGAGGAAGATGACTCTACTATAGCGACAAAAAGACTTACTAAAGTGCAAACCTAGGAGATTTTTATGGTTATATCATAAGCTCCATAAAGATTGAAATGCATTCCGATGGGTATCAGGTGTGTGTGTGTGCGAGCCTGTTGCTGCGGCGTTCGAAGTGAGGACGAAGCGGCTTTCCCATACTCAATAGCATTCATCCGATTCTTACTACTCATTTGAATTAATCCATATAACACTCTGTTCATCATCCATTTATTAACTCTTTGTTTTGTTTTTCTAACTTCTACTAATTAATATTACCGATTTACTGTTTTAGGCAGTGGTGGTCGTCAATTGTTTTGCATAGAGCGCACAGGTGATGAGCAATGGCTACCACGTAGTCACACCTGTTTCAATCGTTTAGACCTACCACCGTATCGTTCATATGATCAACTGTGTGAAAAATTACAAATGGCAATTGAAGAGACTAAGGGATTCGGACAAGAATAATCCAATCAGATGTGTATGTGTGTGTATGTGTATATGTATGTGGTGGTCCTGCTTATCTATCCCTTGTTTCTTGTCCTCTTACCCCCCCATCCTACCTTTGGACTAGTTTTATTCTGTGGCTAGTTTACTGTGTACATCCTATTCTCTTAAATATAATTAACTGTAGTATGATAAGGAGAAGTGAATTGAGAACATGCATATGATATATATATATATATATACAAACTGTGATTAATCCCCTTGTGGTAATTTTATTCAACATGTAATTTCTCATTTTTTGTTTTGCTTCTCCCTCCTTTTTTTACACGCAAATTTTATTGACCTTGGATATGAAAAATTATTTTAATAAATATTTTTTATTTATTTCAAATTGTTTGAGTCTGTTTATTACACTTCCTTGGGTTAAACGTATCATTAGTGTATCCGACTGAACTAGAATTAGGTTGATTTGTACATATATAGAAAAGGCGTTGTGGAGTTTAGTGTTATTTTCTGCGGTCAAACGTAATAACAGATCAGTAATAATATTCCAGTATATGCATACGTATTATACGTCTTTGCTCCTAACTAACTAAACTTCATTGCCAGCTTAATAATACAATTGCCGGCTTCAATACTTGAAGAAGCAGGTTCAGATCTCAAACATAACATTAATTTTACTGAAATTAGTGTTGGCAGACTCGAAATGTAGGTTTTGGGCTTCTTGATGATGTGATGGTCTGTTTTCATACTGAAGTGACAGTCTGTAGGAGTATTGCACTACTTGGCCTAGTGATCACACATTGCATTCTTGAGCGAATGATTGTCATCAGAACCTTGTACTACAAACTTAACCTGGTTGGTGGTCTACATGGAAATGAAATCCTATATTATGAAACATAACGTTACTTCTTTTTTAACTGGCTGCATTCAGTTTTTTTGCTGGATTATTTGACTGCATTAGCACCCCGGATACGATCAGCACTTGTCTTGTCGTAATTCAAAATCTTATGCTAGAATTTCGTCTACGAATGTCTAAATTTAGGTAGGATATGTGGGGACACTTGCTGCTGTATTACTGTCGGACAGTTTGTGTTGAAAGAATGTTAAGTTTTGATACATTATAATAACTGTACTTGTTCTTCATTGACTAAACAAAAAATTCATAAGATCTGGAGCGATTTCTTCATCAGAGTTGTCAAGCAGTGCATAATTACCTGAATGACAGAGACTGACGAAGCTACCGAATAACTTTATTAGTTGTAAAATAACTAAGACTAATATAGAAAGAAAGGAGAACAGGGAATGATGAAAGCAATACGAAGATGCATGTAAAATACTGCACTCGTTTGTAGACCATACAACCTGAAGCTTAAAACCATATACTTTAACAGATGTTGCTCACTAAATTAGGTAGTGAGTAGTCATGTTTAATACATATCCTAGTCGCCTCAATTAGTGGAAGTATTCAAACTCACTCATTCGACAAGTGTGATAGCAACAAATGCAACAGGATAAAGAATACTCATATGGTTGCTCTACCTGATGAGATTGTATGCCGATTTGCTTGTTTGGTTCTCTGTAAAGTCAGTATAAAGTTAACCAGTTATTGGTTGCATAATTGTGTGAAATCCTGATACTCTTGTTGTTCTTAATTTGTTCAAATTTATCAATTGGAAAGATTGGATGAACTCACTAGTTAGTGTTTGTATCACATACGAAGGAGGATACTGCAAAGATAGCCGCTACTAAATATACATGCAGTCTTTTCAAATCGCTGACTGGTAATTGTTATTTTTTCTAAACATGTGGTAAAACATAGTGCAGTAAGTATTACTGATAAATAAGTTAGAACATCAGAAAAGAGAAATGCTACCCTATTTAAGTATAAGCTGATAATGACAACTCTTCATACCCCTAAACAAAATTATAGGACTTCCTTGTTAAAATTTTTACTTAGTACTTTCTTTAAAGTGGAATACTTTTGAAATGCTTCTCAATAGAAGGTGTTGAATTCTGCCTTCAGGAAAAGAAGCATAATAACTTGGTGTAACAGAAAGATTGTGCGCCGGTGGCATATCAGTTAGGATGCTCGCCGACCATGCACATGGTCCGGGGTTCGATCCCCGGCCGACGCACTCCTTTACCTCGCTAAGCCAGAAATAATGCTGGTGAAGAGGAGAGGTTGGGCATGAGGTTAGCAACCACATCCTGTCAAAATAAACACTGCTACAGAAACTTCAAGCTTGTAGCTTGGAGCCCTATGTTCCACTGGGGAACGTGCAGGAAAAAAAGAAGTAACAGGAAGATCAACGTGGGACGTTTCACTTTTCAAGGATGTGGAAATATGAATTCGAAGAAAAACTGAAATTATATTAAAATAAAGGAAAATGACTCTGATCGATTTTCAGCCATGCCACAATTAGTGCGATCATTTGCACCAAACACCTCGAGGAAATTAGGTCAAGAATAAGAGTCTTTGTGAACTGAATTCCACTTCTCATTTTGGTCATTTTTGTTTCCAACTTAATCCTGCTGCGATAGGTGAATTATGTTAAGAAAAGCAGTGGCTTGACAGGCACATTTTACATGTTCATCTTCCTTACCAGGCATTCTGCTTATCAGTGCATACCAACAATGGTACAACAATATCTCATTTCTTCTACTTTCAATGACCACATCTCACAACAAAGTGAACTGTTTCTCATTACACTCACTGGTCGATATTCAGTCAGATATGTCATTGCCATTATAGATTGTACGTACGAACGACTGACCTTTCGTATGCATGTTAATATTATATCGAACAGCACTACACTCTACTCCTCGTCCCTGCACTAAACAGGAGTCTTTGCAACTTATTTCTGCAACACGATCTTACATTCATGTCAGACAAGCTGAAGGTTTGCTGAAAACTTTAGATCCGTCAGCTTGGTTGAAGCTACTGACGTATTTTCATACTCCTAGTTACTTCACTGAAGGATGGCTATGATCAAATATATTCTTATACCAACTCTGTGTAACTTCGCTATCATCCAAATCACCCTTTTGTTCGACACACCGGTATTATCCTCGTCTTCTATATTTAAAGAAAACAGTTCACTAGCAGTAAGTTTACCACACTTTTTAAGACTTAACCACAAATGTGGTAGATTTCAATTATGTGCAACAGAATTAATAGCTCAGTATGCACCGCGTAATTGCATACTGCTACATTAACATGAAGTCATTTTCGAAACTGAGGTTGCACGTCATCAGTCTCACCATTTGACCATTATCTCACAACCGAACCTTAAGGAACTGGAAAATGCGCCCCAGGTGATTCATAACGAAAAAACAGTTTCACTTTTACGATAGTGCAGTAGCTACTGGTAAGATAACAGAACATTTCATTCGCGTACTTAGTGCTTGATTGGAATTACAAGTGAGCCCAAGTATTAAAATTCAAAGACTTTTCCTTCTGACGTGAATCTATAGAATGTGAAAAACTCATTTCCAAGACGTTGATTTGGGAAAGTGATCATCACAACGCATCAACGATTTCCGAAACTGTTTCTTTCTAACATTGTGTTAATCGGAAGCATCAGTGACTTCAACAAATGGAGTTTGTATATGTCGAAAATTCTCACATGTAGCCTTCTGTTATTTGTTCTACTTACACAAATCTGCAGCGCTCTCATAATGTCGTGATTTGAGATAAGTATTCTACAGTATACTCAGTGAATATGAGAAAATTTCCTCCGCGACCTGAAACATTTGCCTGCATCACAAGCATAAGTGAAATTTACAAAAACAATTGTAATAATCAATAAAAATCAGTAATAATTCCAAGAGTCACATTAGTATTTACACAACTGTTATAACTGAACTGAACTGAATAAACTCCGTTGCTACTTTGTTAAGTCTGCGCCTGTTAATTACTGTAACGGTAATGAACTCGACTGGTACACTAATACGTCTATTTGTTCGCTGTGCCTTCCGATTCACTGAGCCACGCAAATATCAAAAGAAAAAAGGCTGGCGTGTGACTGTAAGATATTGTATTGTACTATACTATGCAGTTTAAGTAACAACACATGATATTTATACATTTTATTTACCATAATATAGTCGGCTCAACACCGTGAGAATGGATTTATCCTATTGGCTGGAAATGTCTATTCTGATTGGTTGGTGATCCGACAAAGACCAAGGTGAGACAAAAGATGATGAATTGATCACACACTAAATCACAATATGCGTGAGAAATGATACATTCACTTAGTAACTCCATCACAAGATTCGTGAGAAAGAATGATGTACTATTTTATTCTGGGGGTCCTTTCAACAACTGAAATATCTTAACATAATAGTAACATCCCTCAACAGTGAAGACATTTATCCAGTAGTATCGCAAGGGGAAAGGAAACAGCAACAAGTGTCGGATATAAAAATGCATCCATTAATAGTCGGATCGATATCTGATTGTAGCAGTAGTGTGGTGGTGTGATACAGACAATGTGTCCCATGTTCCCACTAGTTGATACGGCATCAACGACAGAATATGATATATCTATGTGAACATTCTATTTGATGTTAGAGACAGAATACTTTCCCAAATTTCAATACTTCATTAACAAAAGAATACTATGTATATTTGAACTTTCTATTTTTTGTAGTTTGATGGAAGCCGAAATCACACGCTCGGTGATTGGTTGACGAATATAAAATGTGGATATATAAAAAGCGATTTGATCAATGAAAAATATAGTTTGGAACCGTAACTTGGCTTCTGTTGTTAGAGTAGTAGTAAGAGTATAAGTAGTAGTTGTAGTATTAGTATTAGTACTAATAGTAGTACAAGTAATAGTAACAGTAAGAGAATGAAAAGTAGCAGTAGTAGAGGAAGTATTGTTAGTAGAAGCATTGGTATTATTATTAGTATTAGTGTAACCCGTAGCAGTAGTAGTAGTATCAGAAGTGGTAGTAGAATTAGTCTTAGTAGTAGTATAAGTAGTATTAGTAATACTAATTGTTGTAGTAGAATTATTATTAGAGTAAGTATTAATTGTAGGATTATTTCTATTAGTATTAGTAGAACTTTTAGTGGCAGTACTGTTATAGTTTGTAATGGTAGAATTAGCAGTAGTAGTATTAGTAATACTAGTATTAGATTTAGTAGTATTATTAATAGTATAGGTAGTTATAGTATTAGTAGTAGTGATAGTATTTGTAGCAGAAGTAGTAATTTTAGAAATTGTTGTATTAGTATTTGCAGTAGTATGAGCGATCTTAGCAGTAGTATTAGTAGTAGTTGTAGTATTAGTAGTAGTAATATAAGAAGTAGTATCATTAGTATTGGTATTAATAG